CACACACGCACGCACACAACAGGAGCAGCAAACCCAGCTTTTTTTCTCTTCCCACCCTACTGACCACAAAGACAGGGATTGAAACCAGCGAGCTCTTGATCTGTAAACTGCGGTTAAATGTCTACTACACCATCAGGGCTGCCCCTGTTCAGGAGTTCATAACTGGGACATTAGATGGAGTCCTTCACTGAAGTTTCCATCAAACTCAATAACGAGTGGAAGACCGCTATTTGTTTTGGCCAGCCGGGTGTCTGACGCATGTGGAAACCCATCAGTGTTGCTTAAAAGTCTCCAAACCAAGCTGAGAATTCCATACATCCCACCTACACATGGAAATGCCAGAGATAGATTGTAGGAATGGAAAGTGCGGACTCCCTCGCGCTCTCTCTCCCTAGAGGGATGCTTCCTGCTTACCTAATTCCAGAACGTATCAGGCCAGAAATATATTGTATTGAATATTTTAAAATAAATATAGAAATATCGGAAGACTGATAGAGGTCGCGAGTCACGAAGGTTTGGGTTACATTCTTGAACCGTGCCTTTGACCTTTCTGCCTTGCAAAGGGGCAATTTCAGGACAGACACCAGGAAGTATTTCTTTACTCAGCAGGTGCAGGGTAGGAGGGTGACAGAAGATGTGGTCGAAGAGGACGGTCTTCAGTGTAATATTAGGGTATTAAGGAATTTTCAGCTCTGAAATGGGGAACTTCTGCTTCAGGCAAACTCCAGCCTTGGCTCCCAATTCACCTCCACCCTCCAAAACACACACACAGACACACACAACCACACACATAGATACACACATACCTCACTCCTGGACAAACTCAAACTGCTCGCAAGATTGATTTGGATGAAGAATGCCCTTCAGCCCATCCGATCTCATCCCTCCGGAATACCCGCCCGACGCTTTCCCCATCACAGCATCGAGCTGCTTTTTAAATGAAACCCAGTGTCCTGGCCTCAACCACCCTTCTAGACAACCCTGTTCCAGTCGTTAATTACCCTCTTGAGTTAAAAAATATTTCCTGGTGTCTGTCCTGAAATTGACCTTTGCAACCCTGAATCAGCATCCTCTTGTTCTGCTCTCTCCGTGCGTCCGAAAGTATTTGATCTGGATGTTTACTATCTCAATCCTGTTTAAAATCCTTTAAACCTCTATAAGGTGCCCTCTGCGACATCTGCTTTCAAGCCTGGGATCGGAGGCTCAGCTGGAATGAGCCGCGACAGACTGTCAGTGCTCACAGCCAAGTACTCACCGTACATAATGGGGATAGTGAGAGGGGCCGTGTCTCCACAGGAACTTGGTCTGGTGGGAGGAACGGAATAATAGGGGAAAAAGGCAGGTGGTGGTGAACGAGAAGTAGATGATAACACTCACTGGTAAGACTCGCTGTTGCCACCAATGAGTCAGCTGTCCAACTTAAGTGATTTATGTTTCAGGGGAAAACAGGAGAGAACTACTGATACGATGCGTGCATAAGCACAAATAAGGATTGCGTAATAATAATAATCTATACGATTAGTTAGCGCCTTTCATGTCTGAAGGACGTCTCGATGCGTTTCGCAGGATGTGCTGTAAAGCGGAATAAATTGTTTTTTGCGGGCGGAATGCGGCGGCCGATTTGTGCGCGGTGACGTCCCGCGGAGTTGCGCGACAAGCAGGATGGTTTGCGTAACGCGGGGCACAAGACGAGGGAGTCACTCACTCCTCCCGCGAATGCAATGTCAATAACCAGCTTTGCTTTGTGCCTCTGTCTCTGTCCCTCCATCCCATGTAACTCATCCCATTGTACTCTCGCGATTCGGCTCTCGTAAGAGAATCGTCGCCCGTCTCTTATCATTCGCTCTCGGCCCGTGGTGCTCACCGATGGTGCCCCAGGGAATGCGGTTACCTGTAAAAATGCTTATTTTTAAAATATATCCACCTCTATTAAAAAAAAAGAACCAAGCGTTCGGTATCTAGCGAATTCATTAAACTGACAGAAGTTTGTTGTGCTTTGCTCGGAACTGTGTCGCGCCAATGGAGAAATGTTCTTTGCGTTTTCTTTCTAATCCTGCACTCGAAATGAATAAGGGAAAGGTGGGTATTGTCGCTAAATTTACAATTCAAGCCAGTTACAGCGATAGACGATGTCGTCCCTGGAAACAAAGTGCTGTTTGAAACCGAAAAAAAAATGGAGTACATTGCAGCTCCGAATATGTGTGAGTGATAGGCCAATTTCATTTCTGAGGCCAAGTGCCTAATTGTTTAGATCTTAAAGGCAATCAGGACTCTAACTCAGCAAGGCAGGCTTTGACATTTTGCCATCCACTGTCGTTAGCTCAGTTAATTCAACCGTTCAAAATTGTCACGCGTGATTTCTGACACCAAGGCAACCCCGCGAGGCACGAAACCCAGGGTGTTTAAACCACAGGGTCTTTGACTTCCCGGCACTTGTTGCTAGTTTGCGTAAACGTTTTGATGGGATCCTGCAAAAGTTTTTTGGTGATCCTTTCATGCTCACGGTTGAAGCTCGTTGACACTTTGGTCTAGCGCCTTATCACGCCGTTGAGACGTCTCAAGGTATACCGTAAAGTGCAGTGACTGTGTGTTTTGTGGGCGAAACTGAATGACCGTTTCACTTTACTCTCCCCGTTTATTTTCTTCCTTATCCTTTTCCTTTGCACCTCTCCAGTGTCCTTTTGTAGGTGGTGCGCCCATAACCTGCACACAGTATTCCACATGTACGCGCACTGTTCATGTGCAGACTCAGAATAACTTGCCTTGACCTTAAACTGCATCCCAGTACATGGTTAGCATGCTTGAAGCAGTCTGATATTGACTGGATGCTTTCAGTAGAGGGTCAATAATCAATCTAGATTCTTCCCCTTTTCTTCCTTGCTAATAAATAGACTTTAATTCTGTAGACATATTTAAGGTGTCCTCTTCCAATGTATTCCAAATGCAGAATATTGTCATATTGTCACCTATGAAATACACAGTCACTGCACTTCACAGTAAATCCTGTGAAGAATTCATAGGATACACCTTTTGAGATGTTCCCAGGACGTGAACGGTGCTGTATCAAACGTGAAAACTATTATTTTTATTTATGATAGTTATGTAATTATTACGCACCGCATTCTTACATCAAATCCGACTTTTTCCGCTGTTTGGGAAGTTTGTCTGGAGTGAGAAGTCTCCAATTGCCTATGTAAAATTGTCACGTTAAAGGCAGCGGCTCAATCGACAGCTCGCAAAATTGTAAAATGCCATCGAACTCGCACATATTCTGTATTAAATGTACCACAATTACTCTTCCAAACATCCCCTTGGTTCGAGGAGAATTTGACGATCGAAACAGATTTATCAATTCACACCAGGTAGAAACTCACACAGGCAGACAGTCAGTTTAATGTTATTCTATCCTCTCCTCCTCACTCCCCCACCCCAACCCCCTTCCCCCCAGGGGCAAACCCAAACGGAATTACGACAGGCTTTCAAAGCTACGACAGATAAATCGATGAATCCTGCACTTAAATTGAATCGGGTTGCTGGCTCTCACAAATCAACCTGCTGTTTTCCGCTTTGAGCCATTGAAACTGTACTAATTTTGTTAATTTAATACCGGAACCGCTGCGTGAAAAGGCAGGAGCCAAGCCCTGAGGGTTGCTTCCCCCCGTCCCACCCCCCCGCCCCCCAGGAAGCTTAGCTCTCTGGTGATTAGAAACAATACATAGTTGTGATATACATAGTTTATAGTTTGGGACACGACATGTCACGCGACTGCCAGATGGTGGAAGGCGAATTGGACGGACCTCGGTCTTCTTTCGCCAGCAAATTCTTACGTTCTTCAGACCATAAGGGTTAAAAAGACGACAATGGGAGGGGAGAAGGGGGAAAGGGGGAAGGGGGTGGGGGAGGGAAAGAACGGTGATGGGGGAGAGGGGGAGAGTGGGTGAGAAATGACTAAAACGAACCGGCACTTAGCATCTTTTTTTGAGGTGGGGGTGGGGGGAGGGTGGGGGGGAGGAGGGTGGGGTGGGAACAAAAATAGCAAACAAGTTAAACTCATCCGTCCCACATGAATGAAAGGAGAAAAAAAATACATGAAAACACATAATATTCACATGGAAACAAAATGGAGGGATTTGGACAGGGTTTTGTGTCTTTTTTTCTTGTAATTTGAGACTCTAATGATGCACTTATGTTACCCGCTCTTCCCTTTTTCTTACACCTTACCTACTTAAGGAGGAATTCTTGATTGGTAAGTCGATGCTACCTACAGACCTAGGGATATATTGTAGGTCGGTGGTGAAAAAAAATAGATTTCTTCTACAGGAAACTCAAGCAGTACCTTTCAGAGGGCTTTTTTAGTTAAAGTGATGGACTATTTGTTTTGCGAGTTTAATTTCCGACATAATTCTCATTTTGTGATGTTCGTTCATCGCCCTCTCTTGCCACGCTTCTTGGGGTTTTATTGATTTCCACTTTTATGCAGTCCGTAGTTCTGTATTCACATTTCCCTCTCTTTCCCTTTTCTTTCTCTCTCTCTCTCTCTGTCTCTATTTCTTTCCCTTTCCCTCTCTCTCCACACACCACTTTTCCGTTGCCTTACTCCCTTCGTTCTTTGAGTTGGTTTATTTCTCTTATTATTAGTAAAAGAAAAAAAGCTTTTTTTTTTAAACTCCAATTTCCTTACGATTCTGATTTCTCTTACCACATGGTTTCGTTCGCATGCTTTTTTTTGGTTAAAAATTAAAACCACTACCCAAAAAAAAAAGCCAATTTTTTTGCATGACGTCTTAAGAAAAGAAAAAGAAAAAAAAAAAACGACGAGCTTTTCACGTTCAAAAAAGAGTTTGGGTTGGTTTTTTTTTTTTTTGGTTGGTTTCTGTTTCTTTTTGTGTGTTTGTAAGGGTAAGTGCCTTTAAAGGTATTCAGTGCATCATTGCCGCTGGTTTGTCTGCCTCCGCGCAGAGACTGTGCCACAGTGATAGCAGAGTGCTTTCTGTCTGCAGGTATGGAAGGCTCAGGACGAAGCTTTGACGAAGGATTACGACTCGGGCAATGACACCTCCTCGCCCCCCTCGGCCAAAGCGGCGGCCGTCAGATCGCAAGCTGCGGGGGAGGCCAAGTCGCAGCAGCCGTCCCAAGGGACCCCCTCCCCAGAGAAACTGAAGTTCAGTGACCTTGAGCATGGCTCAGATTCCGGGAACTCCGTAACCAGCTACCCGTCTCCGTGCAAAGGGGCGCCTTCTCCGCCTAATGCGTCGCCCGCTTACCAACTGGACAAGGGCGTCAGTCGGTAAGGCTTTCCCGACCGACTGCAGCAGCTGTGCGCGATCGGCTGTCGCGTTTCGCCAGCGGGGTGCGCGGTCGATTCACTTCGCAGTGTATCCCGTGAAGCGCTTTGGGACGTCTCGAAAGACGTGATAAGGCGCCGTCTCGAGCGCAAGGATTAGTGTTGTTATGACGCACGTCAACAATAACTTCCGCCCTTGGGATGGGACGTTAAACCGAGATCCCGTCGGTCTGTTCAGTTGGAACGTTAGAAATCCTCGCGGCGAAAAGACAAAGGAGTTTCTCTCCACCCGTGTCCCGGCCAACAGTCCAACCCCCCCCTCCCCCACCCCGAAAAAAATCGGTCACTCACTCTGTGGCTGTTCGTGGGACACTGCTGAGCGTAACTGCAGCTCGTGTGCTCTCACGCACCAGGCTCCGGGACCCCATCACTCCCACCCTCGCCCGACTCCACTGGTTCCCCATTCCCCAGAGAATCGAGTTCCAGATCCTCGTCCTAACTTTCAAGGCCATCCATGGCCTTGCCCCCTCCTACCTCTCTGACCTGCTGACTCCCTACCAACCTGCCCGCTCCCTCCGTTCATCAGGGTCCGGGCTGCTCCATGTCTCCCGCCCGACCCGCCCTACCATCGGTGGCCGGGCTTTCAGCCTCTCTGCCCCCACACTCTGGAACTCCGTCCCACGGTCCCTTCGCCTCACTTCCTCCCTCGCCTCCTTCAAGGTCGGCCTCAAGACCCTTCTCTTCGCTCGTGCCTTTGGTCGCCCTCCCACCTCTCTGCCTTCCCTCACCCCTACACGCCCCCTCCCCCATGCTCGGGCCCCGACATCTGACTGTTCAGCACTTTGGGACGTCCTCCCGACGTGAAAGGCGCTCTATAAATGTAATTTTGTTGTTGTTGTTGTAACTGGCTGCTGCTTTTCACCCCCAAAATACACATTCAATCCACTTTACAGTGTATCCCGGGAAGCGCTTTGGTGAGACGTCTCAACGACATAGTACGGCGCTGCATCAAACGGAAGGATTATTATTTTGTCCAGCTTGGACCACTTTAACCCCCTTGGAGATTTTGGTTGCAGGATTAATACGAAACAGCTTGATACTGTGATGGGAGGATGCTAGGAACAGATGGGTGGTGGGGGGGTGGGGGGGAAGGATTGGGGGGTTGGGTTTTGAACCCAGGGATAATTAACAGGTCGACTCTTTCCCCTTTCAGAGAGTTACCGTCGACCCACGACTGGTGCGCCACAAGCGACGAGAGGAAGAGAAGCCTCTCTCCCTCCCCGGGCAGACATCGCTCCAGGAGTGACTCCCGGAGCACAGGGCACCCCACCACTTCCCGGAGCTCCAGCCGTTCCTCCCGCTCCCGCTCTCCCGCGTACACCCCCACCACCAAATATTCCCGAAGCAGATCGCACTCGTCAGGAAAAAGGTTGGTGCGAGAGTGTTTGGGATATGGTGGGGTGAGGGGGGAGTGGGGGGACAAGTGAGAGGGTGATGGAGTGGGGTGGGGTGGTGGGGTGGGGGGGTATGGGGGGCAGGGGATAAATAGTTCCCTGCAAAGCGCTTTGAGACAACTGGAAGACGTGATAAGGCGCCATATCAAATGCAACGATTATTATTATTATTGTAATTATTACGTTCAATCTCTTGCCAGAGACAATGCAGCCCCCATTACTCCCCCCCTCCCCACCACCCCCCCCCCCCACCCTGACTGGAGAGGAGAAATAAACGTTGGGGTTGAAAATGCGATGGGTGATGTAATAATTATCACGGGTGTTATTGTCACACTGTCACAGTCTTTCCACTGCTGTGGAAAGAAAGGGAAGGGAAGTCTTAGCTAATGTCTGGCCATCGCTAGATTGACGCACGGATAATGAAGCTTTGTCCCCTTTTTGCCCCGTCCAGGTCTTCATCCCGATCCTCAAGTTATTCCCCGAAGTCCAGGAGGAGAAGCTCAGGAATCAGGAGCTCACGATCCCGTCGGAGTCCTAGCTACTCCAGATACAGCCCTCAGAGGTAGCTCGGGCCTTCATCTCTCCGTTGTAGCGTAGTGGGTTAGAGCCCTCGCCTCGCAAGCCAGAGGACCCGGGTTCGATTCTCAGGCGGAGTGACAGTGGTGGGGTGGGGGGTGGGGGGGGCGAGAAAACTTAGGCAGGTTTCCTTACTCCACACACGCCTCTGTTTGTCTCACAGTAAATGGGAACGCGGTTGTTAAGCGATTAGCGGATCGCTTTCCGGAGGTTATAATCCCTCCTCAAGAAAAACAATTGGGGTCGCTGTTGTGCGCCGCGTTTCACCCACAAAATACATTTGTCAATATATACTGTGAAGCGCGTTGAGACGTCTCGTAAACCACCCGATAAGGCACTGTATCATCAACAACAACAACAACTTGCGTTTATATAGCATCTCCCAGCGCTTAAATGCGAATGACATCGAACGCGAGAATTCTAAATATTCTTATTATATATAAATATATAATCCCGACGCTTTAAATCGCGATCGTGTAGGGACCACGACCGGGAACGTAAAAAGTACAGCTCGAGGGAGTCCAGGCGTCGGCGCTCTCGATCTTACTCTCCGATGAGGAAGCGCAGGAGAGATTCTCCCAGTCATTTGGAGCCTCGTAGGATCACCAGGTCTGTAACGGCAGCCGCTCACCGAGTCCTCTCTCTCTCTCTCTCTCTCTCTCCACTCTCTCTCTCTCTCTCTCTCTCTCTCTCGTGTGTTTCCTTACCGGACAGGAAAGGGGCGCGGTGGGGGGGTGGAGGGGTGGTGTGGTTGGGGGGATGTGGTGGGGGTTGTGGGTGGGGGGGTGGTGGTGGAATGGGGCAATTAAGCAAAAGAAAAAAGACGACTTAGATCCCTTTTTATTACACTGGGGTTATTTGGCGTGAACTTGAATCGCAGATAGTTAACGGATTGAAACGTTCCCCAAGTGATGGGATCAAAGCAAAGCTTTTAAAGTGCGTGTCAGTGGAGCCAATGACAAATGCCACGTCGGGACTCACACAGTCTAAGCTAATGCTCCAATGTAGTCCCGGGGCAGGGGTGGGGTGGGGGGTGTGTGTGTGGAGGGGTTGGGGGTCGCATTGTCATAGGCTTGCAAATTACCCGGTCCCTCCACTCCGGGTGGAAGCGCTTCTGAGCCGTCCTTGCGACTCTGCGAAGGCGCGATCCCCAAGGATGCAAGGATTACCATCGTTGTGGTTCATTGGTTTTATTGGGTTTGTGTCCTGCATTAGTGCTCGCAAACGCCCCATCCCGTACTACAGACCCAGCCCTCTGTCGTTCAGCAGCGTGAGCAGCTACTCCTCCTGGTACAGCGGCCGGAGCTGGAGTCGCAGCCGGAGCCGAAGCCGGAGCAAGAGCAGGAGTAGGAGCAGGACCCGGAGCAGGAGCAGGAGCAGGAGCCGGGGCCGGGGCCGGTCTCGCACCAGCACCAGCAGCGGCAGCGGCAGCGGTAGCGGCAGCGGCGGCGGCAGTTTCTACAGCTACCGCAGTCACAGTCGCACCCGGAGTTCGTCGGTGAGCGGGAGCAGCAGCCGGAGCAGGAGCAGGAGCAGCCGGAGCCGGAGTCGGAGCTATGACTCCTTCGGGAGCTACGAGAGCCTCAGGCGCTGAGGGCTCCCTCCTGCCATAGGCTTGCCGATTGGCCTCCGCGTGCGGTGTGCTGGTTTCCCCCCCACCCCCCCCCCCCCCACCCCTCCGCGGGGTCTACCCGGTGGAATCCGGGTCAGCCAGTTGGTGTCACAAGGCGCTCAGACTGAGGGACGTGTGTCTCCCAAACCCCCGCTCGCCCACCCCCCCACTCTTCTCCCTGCCCCCTCTCCTCTCCCGCTATCCCATCTCCCCGTTTACCTTGAGGACGGAATGAAAACCCTTACTTAAGAGGTGCCTGAACGAGGCTGTGTCACGGGTCCGGACGTGCGAGTGAGGCACACGGACGATCGATGTCTTAAGCGCGTGACGCAGTCTTTCCCACGTGGCACGGAGTTTTTGTTTCGAACAGAAAATGGTTGTCTTTTCCTTTCACTCCCCTCCCCTCACCCCCCCCCACCCCCCCAATCAAAAACATCCAGGTCCCTTCCGTGCCTAAAATCGGGGGCGGTGGGGTGGGGGGGAGGGTGTTGGGGGGTGGGAGGGGCGACCGTCTCGATTCCGAGACCGGAACCCCACCTTGTGCGGAACACGCAGTCCCTGCGCTCCGCAGTAAACCCTGAGAGGCACTTTGAGACGCTCTGCTGGCACGATAAGGCCGCTTCATCCAAATGCCCCTCAAGACTTGTCGCACACATACAGAGCCCCTCATTGAGGGTTAATACTAATCCTTGCACCTTATCATGTTCCTCGAGACATCTCGAATCACTTCACGGGATTTCACCGCGAGGTGCAGTGACTGGTCTGTTTGCAAGCAAACATGGCGGTCAATTTGCGTACGCCAGTGATGTCTCGGAGCGCTTTAGAGGGACAGGGTCGGGCCCCGAGCAAGGGAAAGGGGGAAAGTGGGGGAAGGTCAGCTGGTCACAGGCGCATTGCAAAAGTTAGGATGTGAGGTCGATGATGGAACAGCTACAAATTAAGCACAAAATTAATATGTAGCTTTCCCGTTGCTTGTCCAGCTAGGACCACCCTACCCATTAGAGCTTTGGCTTGCAGGGTTGACAGGAGGAGTGAGTGGGATGACTCCCTACACCCCCCCAGTGACTGGTCCGCCCTTCCAAGTCCTGCCAATGACAACGGACTCGTTTGGCTCAAGAACCGGTCTACGGAGACCACCACAGAGGGTTGACTCGAGTCCAAGGGTGTCAGCTTGGAACCACTTGCCTCCCTTACTCTCTCCCCCTCCCTCCCCCCCATTCTATACCTCCCCCACCCCCCTCCCCCCACACACACAAACCACCGGCAGAGGAGTCCATTTAACAGTATTGCAAAAAGAACATCTGAGGTGACCTACTTTCCCAGCACTTGCCCTGCGGAGACTCAGGGTGCAATGAACGGGCGCAAAAATAGACCGAGTGAGAAGTGCCACAGCACAACAGGTGCAGCGTCTATACTTAGGACATTTTTTTTAGACTTGGTCGCTGAGTTGCTGAATCAGATCATGTACAAGCACATCTGACATCCTCCTCCCATTCTCTCTCCCTCCTTCCCTCTGTCTGACCCTCCCTTCCTCTCTCCCTCCCTCCCAGCGATGACAAGTCAAAGTGCATCCAATTGCCCCCCTCTCCTCCCCCCGCACCCGGCCACTCACACCCCCACCTCACACCCCTCTCTCATACCTCTGTTCCGTCTGCTTTGACCGCAGCTATGAACGACGCAGTTGCCATAGGCAACGAGCATTGTTGGAGACTGGAACAGAAACTGCAGGTCTGGTTATAGCTTCACATTCCCAACTTAAAGCCAACTCAAATGCCGTTGAGAACCATTGATAGACAGTGGGATTATCCGACCTGGAATCGAGCCTGTTTTCACAGGAGCCTCACCCCTCTCGGAAATGTGTGCTCGTAACCCTTTTGATCCGTTGCCTTTGTTTATTAAGTGGTGGAGTCTGCTGCAGATCACGACATGCCGCGATCCGTTCTGCCTTCCCCCATCTCCGCGACATCGCCCGGCTACACCGCTGCCTCTCCCCCTCGAGCCGCCGAGCCCCTCACCCACGCATTCAGCAGATCCAGGCTTGACTACGCTAACACCTCCCCAACCCTACCCTACTCCCACTCTCCCCTCCCTCCCAGCTCAGGCTTACACGATCACAAGTTTGGTCTGGATGAGGAACACACTTTGGCCCATCCGATCTCATCCCTCCAGAACACCCACCCTTCCCTTCCGTCCGTGCATTGCCCCATCCCCCCCCCCCACCCCCCGCATCACTGCAACCCGCTGCTTTTTAAATGAGTCCCAGTGTCCTGGCCTCTATCATCTCTCCTGGCAACTTTGTTCCACGTGTTGATCACCCTCGATCACCCTCGGCGTAAAGAAAAACTTCCTGGTGTCTGCCCTGAAATTGCCGTTTGCAAACCTAAACCCGTGTCCCCTCGTTCTGCTGTCTTGATGCCTTGGTCTAGGTTTACTTTCTCACTCAGGCTTTGTAAAGCGCTTTGAGCCGTTCGTTCGTTGTCCATGTGAAAGGCGCCGTATAAATTCAGTTTGTTGTTGCTCGCGCCTTGGGATGTTTCAGCCTGATCAGACTCTACACCAAATCCAGGGAGTTTATTACCTTCTCTGAAGCAGAAGATTGTGGGTTCAAGCCCCAGGTCGGGACTTTGAATCACATCGTCTAAACTAACACTCCAATGCAGTGCTGGAAGTGTGTTGCATTGCCAGAGATGCCGTCCTTCATATGAGATGTTAAACTGAGGTCCCATCTGCCTGTTCAGGTGGATGTTAAAGATCCCATGACACTATTCGAAAAGAGTGCCAATTTTTTTTTAAAAAAAGAATAATTTGTTCACTCAGTCCACGACTGTGTGTGGCACTGTGTTTTTGCCCACAAAATATACAGTCAACTCACTTTACAGTATATTCCGTGAAGCGCTTTGAGACATCTCGAAGATGTGGTAAGGCGCTCTATCAAATGCAAGGATTATTATTACTATATTCCAAGGCCCAGCTCAGTTTCGTTTTATCTTTGATGTGCGCCTTTCAAATGCGTGTTGCAAAACAAACAATGTTAAAAGAGTTGAGCCAGAGCTCAGTTAGCAAATTGGCTTAGGGAGCACAATCCTGCCAATGCAAAGATCGCAAGCAGTGACAGTAATCTCGCAGGTGAATATAGAAAACCCTAATTGTCCTTCACCCTGTCTTAGTAACTTATTGATAGTCCTTTCCTTAGTTTGCGTTCCGCTGAATTTTATGTTTATTTAAAATCTGTCACCTAGAATTAGCGAATATACCAAAATATTGTCTGCTATAATTGTCGATCAATTGTATTTTCACTATGCACTGTACATACGTTTAATGACAGAGATCAAAACCGTTCCAATTATTTATTTAATATTTATTTGCCCTATTTATGACGTTATTTATTATAGATCTCGGCCTACGGGACTTGTATTTATGAATCTGCCCGTGCGTAACGTGAAAATAAATCCTCTCCGTTCTTAATATTTTTTTTTCTTCTTTCCGTAAGCGAAACATTTGTGGGACCGTCTTTGTGAGCATCTTAAGTAAAGTTTCCCCCAAAATATTGATGATTTGCGACACGATTTTCCCAGCCAGCGATGAATGGCAGCAGCTAAATAAATGACCACATTGGACACCGTTCTGTATTATTAATATAATTAGCTAGAATTATCAGTCCGATTTGCCAACAGCCAGTGTGTTGTGTATTCGTCAGGTCACAATCTAACCAAAATAGTAATTGTAAATGTTTTTAGGCGAGAAAAAAAAGTGAAACTGGGAGGAACAAGGAGCGTAGCAATGCACTGGTACGGAAATGGCCCTCAGTAATAAATCCTCATACCCGCTGTTTGCAGTAGAGTTGGAGGTTTTCTCTTGATATCTGTGAAGCAGCTCTTACGATCTCTCTCTCCTGTGAAAATAAGATACTATATTCTCCATGACATTAGTCTTCCTGATGTATTTAATTTGTGAGCTTGTAAAACAAATCTGTTCAAAATAAACATCCTGACTTGAATTTGCGGCTGGTTTTATTTCATGCCTGTTTGTCCCTCCCTCCCTCCCTCATTCCCTCATTCCCTCCCTCCCTCCCTCCCTCCCTCCCTCCCTCCCTCACTCACTCACTCACTCACTCACTCAATAAATACACTCACTCAAACATGTACACTCACACGCTCTCACTCACTCTCCTTTACTCACACTTATTCATACATACACACATATGCTCGCTCGCTCGCTCACATACATACATACATACACACATACACACACACACACATACATACACACACACACACATACACACACACACACAGATACATAGTTTAAGGCATTTTTAATTTGCATTCACCTACAAAGTGGAGTTGCCAGGGTCAATTGTCCCTTAAGAGTGAGTTGGGGAATCGATGAATTTTGTTGTCAGCTTGGATCTGAATCCCTCTCAAGCACAGTAATGTGAATCAGAAAATACGAGCGCCTTTGCTGTTTTCTACACAGTGGAGCCCTCCTGGAGTGAAACAAAGTGGCCATAAAAATATTGTTTTCAGAATCATTTTCCCTCGAAGATGTTGACAAAACGACAGTTAAATAGAACAACATAAATATAGACCTTTGCAAAACACAGCAGAGCCTGAATTTGGGCAAAGGCATGTTAAAGAGAGAGAGAGAGAGGGAGGGAGGGAGAGAGAAGCAGAACCCCAGTGAGGGGAGATTTGCAGGCAAGCAAAAACTCAAGCCAAACCCAAGCTGGAACCAAGGCATTTTTTTTAACATATAAAATGCTGGGGAAAATCTCTACCGGCCCCTAGGAATTCCGCAAGCAGTCATTTCAAAGTTCCCCATCAGTAAATTGGCCTTCCATAATAATAATAATAATCATAATAATAATAGTAATCGCAATTTCATCGGCAGTCTTTAAGCGGTCACCATTCAGCAGTTTCTATAGAAATTTAGACACACTTTGCAGATATTATTTGATAATTAAAGACCTAAAAAACATAAGAATTTCCGAGGCGAAAGAAGACCGAGGTCCATCTAGTTCGCCTTCTGCCATCCACGTCGTGTCACAAACTATACACTGTATCCTGAGATATCAGTAAGAACATAAGTATATTCATTCAATGACTATTACTTATTAGATTACTGCTTTCATGTGATTTTAATCATCCTAAGGTCTTTTGGGTGTGGGATAAAAATGGCATCTTTGAATTCAGTCCCCAGCAACTGACAATCCCTTAAAAGATACCCTGGGGCTGGGCTATTTGATCAGTCAAAATGTTTCATGGTGGGTGGATGAGCTAGGGACCCAGATTTGCGCACAGCTATGTTATTGCCCAGCTGCACAGCTGATAGTGGAATGTAAGCCATCTGTTCGGGTGATATTTCAGTCAGCCCCGCATTCCTTAGATAGTCAGTCAGTCGAGGTTTCGAATGAAAAGAACCGATCAATTTACTGGGCTTTATGAAGCCATCGTTCCTTCTTTATTCAATGCAAGAACTGCTACAAGTGCGTCTTGTCCGGCTGGCTCTCGCTTCCGAGTCAGAAAGGTTGTGGCTTCAAGCCTCACCATGTCGGGACTTGGTCTCAGCTGACGTTCCAATGCTGTGCTGTGGGGTGGGGTGGGGTGGGGTGGGAGGGCTGCACAGTCAGAGGTGCCGATTTTCAGATGAGACGTCAAACCGAGGTCCCGACTGCCTGTTCAGGCAGACGCTAAAGATCCCGCGTAAGATTTCGGCCACAAAATCCACACAAACCATTTTACAGTATATCCAGTAAAACACTTTGAGACTTCTTGACGAAGTGATGAGACACTATATCAATTGCAAGGATTATTATTAGTAGTAGTAGTATTATTACGTACCGATTTACTGTGGCGTCCTACATACTGTTTAACTATGGCACCGATACAGCGCTTTGCAGGATTTACTTGAAGGTGTAGTGACTGGGTACTTTGCAGGTGAACGAGGCAATTTACGCGAGGCGACGTCCCGCGGACAGCCATGAAGCGGACGGTCCATTTCGTTCATGGCCACGGGAAACCCTTCTCTTTTCAAGTAGCGCCATGGGATCTTTGATTAAATATTCGAGTGTAAAAATTCTCAATGGCGTACAAGAAAAAAAACCCTCTGTTTCCTTTCTTTTCTGGCTTGACCTTTCCCCTCCTTAGTCGCCTCCTCTCCATTTCCCTTCGGGTCAAAGCAACAGTACGATACAACAACCCCCCACCCCCCCCCCACCTCCCAACTCTTCGACAGATAAGACTCTCCTTATTAATAATTCTCCTCCAATGTGTAACCTAGTGATCACTACAAGCAATGCTCCTGATGCCTCTCACCCCCAACCCCTAACCCCAACCAAGCAGGGCAGAAAGGAACTTGATGTGTGGTCGAGAAGTCTCCATTGCTATTTACAGCCCTTCCGTCCCAGAGAATTTTCTGGTAATGATCTGTAACGATGACAGCGCAGAATACCAAGTAGGTGTCATGCAATTTGGAAGGAAGAGTTGGGATACGCCTGCATTCCTCAATGGAGCGGTCAGTCAGTCAATCAGTCCATCAAGACAAGTTGGGGGAGGTGAGTCAAGCTGTTTTTTCGGTCATCGGCATGAAATTGTTTACCAGATGACCACCCGAGTGATTTTTTTTTGTTGTCTTTTTTTGCTGCCCTAATTTCCGTCATTCGTAAAAGAAAAACAAGTGGGAGCGACAAGAAAGTTTGGCGCTGTGCAGGTTTGAGATGGGGAGAGAGGTGGTGGGGGGGTGGGGGAGAGAGCGAAGGGGGGGAAGGGGTGGAGATGGAGAGAGGGGGGTGAAGAGAGAGGGGGGGAAAGAGATAGAGAGGGAGGGAAAGAGAGTGGGGGGGAGGGAGATAAAGAGTGGGGGGCAAAGAGAGAGGGGGGGAGGGAGATAGAGTGGGGGGGAAAGAGAGAGGGAGAGGAGAGAGAGATGGGAGAGAGAAGGGGGAGGAGAGAAAAGTGGGAAGAGAGTGGGGGGTTAGAGAGAGAGGGGGTTAGAGGGGTGGGGGGGGGGAAGGGAGAGAGCGAGAGAGGAAGGAGAGGGTGACAGAAGAGTTTATTATGAATCAAATATTTCTGATCAGTGACAAGTTGAGAGGAGGAGGTGAGGAGGTAAACAGCAAGCGGTGACTGGGGTGGCTTTAAATAGCCACAGAAGTAAGGGAGAGAGAGCGGGGGGGAGAGAGAGGTTGGGCTATTGTGGATTGGGAAAACGAGCATAACTAAACATGGGCATCGCACGTAAGAGAGGGTTTGACTCGACTCTGCCTGCGGCTGTCATCTCCAGCGAATAGAGAGAAAGAGAAAGAGAGAGATGGATTTCCATTGCTCACAAGTTTCAGAGAATTGGAGATGACAAAGTGGGCAAACTCCTAACTCCCTCCCTCCCTCCCCCTCCAAAAAATGAGCTTATAAATAGCAGGGACCTGTCTTCTCTCACTCTGGCAGAAGTTCTCAATGCAAAACAAAGTTTGATCTGTGCTTGTGGTGTGAGGATCTCTCTCTCTCTCTCTCTCTCTCTTAAGCTTAGTTGGAGATGGCAGAAAGTCAAGCTCCTTTCTCTTGTCAGATCCCGGGGAGACATAGGAGCAATAGAGACCCTTTCAGGGAACCTGGCTTGACCTCTCGTTTTTTGGATGATGAGTTCGCTTTCCCCGACCACTTCACAGCCGACTGGCCCGACTGGGCTCGACCCAGGCTCACCTCCACCTGGCCAGGACCCTTGAGAACTTCCTTCAATGGTCCCAACAGAGAACCGCAAGCCACCTATTCCCCGTCGCCTCCTCAGTACTCGGCTCGCTACATGGGTTACCCAGAGTCCAAGAGCCAGACCAGCCTCACCCCAGGGGAACCTTGGAAAGTGTGTGTCAACGTGCAGAGCTTCAGACCCGAGGAGATCACAGTGAAAACCAGAGACGGTTTTGTGGAGATCTCAGGTCAGTCAAGTCAAATCAGTCAGTCCTTTCCACCGGTAGTGGCCAACCAACCAAATCCATGGTTCTTGATTGAATATTTATTATAATAATAATATTAATATTCATAATAATCCTTGATTTGATTAGAGAGCCTTATCACGGAATGTACCGTAAAGTGAATTGACTGTGTATTTTCCGGGCGAAACGCAGCAGCCAATTGCGCACAACAGCGTCCCCACAAACTGGATTGAGTGACCAATTTTATCTTTTTTTGGGGGGAGGGATTAACTGTCCTAACTGCTGTGCTACAGGACTTCATTTCTTGATTGAATATTCCTTGATTTATGGCGCTTTTTTGATCGGCCAAGAAAATAAATGTAGCTTGGTTGAATATTTCTTTCTTTAAGGCGTAAATCTGTTGCTATTTTGTTATTTCCGTGATTATTTTGTTGGCAGGTCAAAAAATGTTGCGCTTACACCTGCTTTGGTCTTTCACGCCCCAGGCTGTTTGTGTCGGACTTTGAGGTGGGCAAATTGGTTTCTGCCCTGGCCTATAAAAAATATACAGTCACGACAACTCCTTTGGTCATTGGCATTCATGGCTCTTTTGTGTGTGTGTGTGTGTGTGTGTGTGGTGGGGGGGAGAGTGGGGGCTGCTCAGAAATAGGCTGCCACGCTAACCCACAAAACTCACGGTCAATGTACTTCACAGTAAGATCCTGCCAAGTGCTTTGCGACATCCTAAGGCACTGTCCCAAAATGTAATAATCTATTTTTATTTCGATGGACAGATCAGACAGGCATCGGGGATTACAGTCCAACACCATCTGCTCTCTCCCACACCTCCCCTCCCATTCCCCCCCAACCCCCAAAACAAAACCAGACTGACTGGAATCCTTACAATGCTCAAAAATTAGTATACAATATGGGAAACAAAATCGAGACTCGAGTTGGTGTTATGTAGCCGATCGATTGAAGGATGCTACTACACCACAACAACCTGGTTGATGTTGCGCCCTTCACGTGGATAATATCTCGGGGCGCTTATATCAATTTAAGTTGTTGTCGTTGTTGATTTGGGGGTAGGGGAATCCGCCCATTGGAATTCTACAGAAAATAACAATGATAACAATCCTTTCATTTGATACAGCGCCTTATCACGTCGTTGAGACGTCTCAAAGCACCTCACAGAGTATATTTTAAAGCGAATTGACTGCGTAGCAATTTCTCTCTCGCTCTTGTCACACTTCTCAAGGAAAAAGACCAGCAAAACAAAGAGAAAAGCTTTGAGGTGCTCCTGATTTGAAAGGCAAGGGTTGTTGTGAAGACTGTATTGTATGGTTGTGCAAGAGGCAAAGTGTCCAGATTTAAAGGGAGACTGCGATGGTGGATTCCAATGGGAATAAGCTTGATGCACATATCAGAGGGCAGTGTGTGGGTCGGTGGCTGGCTTTGAAATGGGAATTATGTCTGCAGTGGTGTCAGGAAGTTAGATGGGGATAGTGCACATAAGTACAGAAATAGACAGGCGCCTTAGTGATGTATAATAATAGATGATGGAAAACCTACACGTCAAAAATAAGTCTCTTGTTACTGAGGGGAGTGGAACGCAGTTCTACAGTACTTTTTCCCCCACCTTAACTCCAGTTAAGAATGGCTCACGCAGTTTGGTTCAGGCAACTGAGCAGATATTCAAGTGATACACTTGGATCCTGACTGATGGCAGTAAGTTTGATCGTGTGTTTCACTCACCCTTTGGGTTTGACGATCCGCTATTTTTCTCTCTCTTTTCTCCAGGGAAACACGAAGAGAAACAGGAGGAAGGCGGGATCGTGTCAAAAAACTTCACCAAAAAGATCCAGTGAGTAACAGTTCTTTTTTATTGTTTGTCGGTTTCAGTGGCCATTGACAGTGAAAGAGAGAGAGAGAGAGACACACACAGACACATACACACATCGATTGAGAAATTTAACAAGAGAGGGAGAGAGAGTTATTTGAACCCGCAGACAATGTCTCACTTGAATATCTTTTTCTTTTTTGTTGTAAAAAATACATGTTGTTTTTAATCTCCTTGCGTGTGGCGATGTAAAAGCTCTTGCCTCTGCAAAAGAGATCTCTAACATTAAAGCCGAGAATTTCAATGAACTCCACTGGATTAGACAGAGAGTTCTTGGCAGCAGTGACGAAGCTTAAATCCAGACCTTATTTGGGGATATAGTCGACTGTTGCTGTCTCATAAATCCCCCCCCATAATAAACCCTCCACCGACGATTTTCCATGAAACTTGCTCTTAAAATACCTGATCTGCCTGTTTTATTACTGTTTTAAAAGAAAAGGAAACTTTTAATAATCATAATTATCAACTTTTCTTTTAGAAGAATAAAATACGTAATAATAACAATAAAAGGGGCTAATAATCACCCTAACCGCCCCACAAAAAACGCTGTTTACCACGCCTCTGTTTACCTAGCAGTAAGTAGGAACAAGGGGTGGTAAATCGATTGGCAAATGGCTGTAGTGTTTCGCCCACAGAATACACAGTCAATCCATTTTAAGGTAATTCTGTGAGGTGTCTTTGAAGCTTTGAGACGTCTTAACAGTTTGAGACCCTATCACCCTCATCCTCGTCCAGCTCCACTGGCTCCCCATCCCCCAGGGGATACAGTTCACCTTCCTCATCCTCACTTTTAAAGCCTTCTGAGGCTTTGCTCCTCCATACCTGTGTGACCTGATAACTCTGTATAGACCCCCTTGTCCACTTCACCCGCTCATCGGGCTCCGGACTCCTCCACGTCCCCCGCCCAGCCCGCCACACCATCGGCAGTCAGTCGGGCCTTCAGCCTTTCTGCCCCCACCCTTTGAAACTCCATCCCAAAGTGCCTTCGCCTCAACCCCCCCACCCTCCCAACCCCCACTTCCCTCGCCTCCTTCAAGGCCTGTCCCAAGGCCCTTTTCTCTCTATCACATCATCACTCACGACATCTCAGAGCGCTCCACAGGATAGATTGCAAAGCGAGGTGGCTGTGTGTATCTACATCAGTGAAAGCAGCAGCTAGTTTGCCCTTAGCAATGTCCCACCAACAGCCGGGGAGTGAGTGACCCAATTTTATTTTGGGGGGGTGGGGGGAATTGTTGGCCAGTACATTGGGAGAATGAAAAGAGAATAGAGTTTCTAATAGTGCCTTGGGATCTTTAATGTCCACCTGAACATGCAGATGGGACCTTGGGTTTACACATCTCTTCTGAAGGAAAGATGTAATCCCTACAGATGATACCGTGTCATATGGAAATTATATTAATTATGTATTATGGGCTGTTTGTGGCTGAATTTGCACTCCATGGCGTTATCCTAGTTACGTAAATGAAGGTTGTTGTCGTTGTATTATGGGTCGTTTCTGGTAATAACGCTGAGAATGCGTCTGTTGGTGTTTCATGGTGAAGTTTTTGTCAGATCTGTTTCATGAAGGGGGTGGGGGGGTGGGGGGGTGGGGGGTGGGAAGGGGGAGGCAGGCAGGAAGAGAAGAGAAAGTGCTAGAGGGATGCCAGATGAGTCCTCCGCTATATTTATCACACTAGCCTCATGCCGTAGTCATGGGACACTCAGCGTCAACAGTATTGACATCACATGTTGTGTGTTTGTAAAGGTAAACATTTTGCAAGTTCAACTTTGCCTTGGGAGCTTTAATAAGTTACTAGGGTCAGAATTCACTTGGCTTTGGAATTCAGCCACTGAAATGCAGGACTCACACAGGAGAAAAAAGTAAATGGAACCTGGGGAGGAACACATCCAGCGATCAGCACTTGCTAATTCTGCTACTTATCCTCAATTTTCCTTCATAAAGCAAATACATTATTTTCCTGTTCCTCAGCCTTCCTATTTCTCATTCACGCATTCGATAGCTAAGGTGTACACTGTACAGTGAGTAGCTTTTTAAAGATGTTTTAAGGTTCATGGAACAAAAGAGGAATTAAGATGAGGCATTGAAAGATGAATTAGGATAAAAAGTAGAAGGTCATCAGTAATTGCATCAATAATGGTCTGAAATGGACTCTGACTATAGACAATGGGGTTTCATGTTGTCCTGTTATGGATTCTCTGTTATTCTTATTGTTCATAAACCGTAAGGAAGAGTTCGGTACAGCTTGCAAAGCTTCATCTTGGTTGACAACATCATGCTACGTGTCCAGGTCAGGTTTACGTGTTTAAGTGTAAAGGAGATTGTATTTGCAGGGAAATGGATGAATTATGCAAATAATTATTACAATAATCCTTGCATTTGATATAGCGCCTTATCATGTCTTCGAGACATCTCAAAGCGCATCATAGAATATACCGTAAAGTAAATTGACTGTATATTTTGTGGACGAAAACAGCTTTGGGATGTCCCCTTGCATGAAAAAGCACTGTACCAAATGTAAGGATTATTATGGAACAGAAGACGCAAAGAATAAAGGGGTTTAAAGTCTGTTTTCCTGACCCTGAGCTATATTACTCCTTTTAATAAATTCTTAGTAAATGTGTCATCTGTTGCTGTGAGACTATTGCGCTACAAACGTAATTGTTTACTTTGCCTCTCCAATTCTGCGGAGTTCAAAGTAAATGCCATTGTATTTACTTGTAACTTGCATTGGTGGGGGTGGGGGGGGTGGGGGGGAATGCAATAGTTAGCAACATCATTCATTGAGAGTGATTCGATCGCTAACAGACAATCCTGTGATGAATGCCAGTAGCTTTATCTTACTGCGAGCAGAGATGCTGCTCAATACCTGGAGGTTCTTCGTTAGTTAATCCAAGTCTCCGCTTGTTAACCCCATTGTGAAGCCCTTTGTTTTTTTTGTGACCACATCGACAGAAGTTAGCAGATCATTTTTTTCCACAACAAATATACAATTAACTAAATTATATAATATTAATATAATATGTTATACAATGAGATAAATTTACAATAAGATAATGTAACTAAAACGGCTGCCGATTTCGCCCACAAAAACGCACAGTCACCGTATTTTACAGTGAATCCTGTGAAGCACTTTGGGACGTCCTCCCGATGTGAAAGGCGCTCTACCAAACATAAGGATTAATACCATATCAAGTGCAAAGGAACCTTATGTTTCCACCCACTATTATCAGCGAGATCAAAATCAGCATCGTTTGTTTTTTAACTTGGACGTAGAATATTTTTCCAAAGTGGTTGACATTTTTGATGTGAAAAAAAGATGTGGTCACTCAATCCACGACTGTTTGCGGGACCCTGCTGTGCGCAATTGGCTCCCGCGTTTCGCCCACAAAGTACACAGTCAATTCACTTTACAATATATCCTGTGAAGCGCTTTGAGACGTCTCAATGACGTGATGAAACTCTGTATCAAATGCGAGGATCATTAATATTATTATTATAAAACGGATCAAAGGTAATGACGTTTTTCAATGCCGGTGTTTGTCTGTCGTCCCGCAGGCTGCCGATGGAAGTGAACGCTGTGACTGTCTTTGCGTCCTTGTCCCCCGAAGGAGTTTTAATCATCGAAGCCCCCCCTGTGAGACCACCCTCCTACCTGTACGGGGATGAATGCATGGCCGTGGACCGAGAAGGAAGTGAGTTCGAAAACCAGGAACAGACCGTTTCATCTTAATCCCAGTTTTGCCACAAAGTCACACGTCGTTCGAAAACAAGTTCTATGTGTATTACTTTTTGTAACAAAGATTGTATATAAGTCATTATTTGTTTACTTTGATACTTCAGGATGGTCTTATGGAAGATATTGATTCGTTTTGGTCTAATTTGTATATGAGACGAGGACTGTATATTGATCAGGGCTTTTTTTTTGGCAGTAAAAACCATGTGTTTCCATGCCTGGCAGAGCAGAATGGGCTCTATCGATCCTTCTGTAAAAGTGCCTTATTTGTTGATTTTAAATAAAATGCGGTTTGAAAATGTTCTCTCTCTCTGTCTCTCTCTCTCTCTGTCTCTCTCTCTCTCTCTCTCTCTGTCTGTCTCTCTCCGTCAATGAAGCCTAAATCATTAGAAAGATCATCTTAAACCGCCACGTGGAGTCCCATAGCGTATTGGTGACGGTGCTCGCCTCGCTGGCGAGAGGACACAGGTTTGATTCCCGGGCGGGGCGAAACCTTAGCCAAGGTTCCTTATTCCCACAGTCCTCTGTTTAACCCAGCAGTAGATAAGAACCCGGTTATTAGTTGATAATATCTTTCCCGGGGGGGGGGGGGGTTGGGTAACAATCCCTCAAAATAAAATTGATCACTCAAAACACAACTCTTTTTATATAAATGCAAGTCGTTGTTGTTGCGGTTGGGAAATGCCTTGAGGTTCCTAACACCCCTGACCTGATCCCAGCCCCACTTTTGCTGCTCATCACCACTTATCCCGGAGAACACACAAAAGGACAAACTACAGACTTGTGTTCCACTTAAATCAGGGAAAAGATGCATTCGGCCTCTGATTACCACTGTCATCCACTGGAAATGATGTGACAGACACACTGAGGCACTGGGAGTGAGAAGCAATTGCTTTCAATTCAATTCAACATATTTTCCAATGTAACGCCTCAAAATAAAATAGATTTGAATTGCATGGGTTTTGGAGGAACTGCTGATTTTGGTGAGTAGATTTCTCTTCCCACTTAAAGCTTATAGTGAAAGGAATATGTATTTCCATATAGACAAGAATACAATCTTGTCACCCACATTAAACACCACGACAAATTACATTTGTAAACAGCGCCTTTCAGGTCGGGAGGACATCCCAAGGCGCTGGACAGTCAAGGATTTGGCCCCGGGCTGGAGGTTGGGATCAGGAGAGGTGGAGGCTAGGGGTAGGAGGGTGACCATAGGTGCGGTCGAAGAGGAGGGTCTTGAGACACCTTGAAGGAGGGAAGGGGAGAGGTGAACGGGCTGTGGGATAAAGTTCAGAAGGGTGGGGGCAGAAAGGATGAGAGCCCGACCTGCCGATGGTGGAGCGGGCCAGGTGGGGGACATGGAGCAGGTCTGTATGGAGTTAGCAGGTCACAGAGGTAGGAAGGAGCTAAGTGTGGAGTGTTCGAGGGAAGCTTAGAGGATTTGCTGAGCCTGACAGTGTGAAGGAAGGAAACCATTGGCAGATATACAGCACATCAAGATAAAAATTCTATCTAATTGACAAGTTCTGGGACTGGAAACTTGAAGGTAATTATATAATAATAATATAATAATAATCCTTGCATTTGATATAGCACCTGATCACGCCTTCTAGACATCTCAAAGCGCTTCACAGAATATACTGTCAAGTAAATTAACTGTATATTTTGTGGGCGAAATGCGGCAGCCAATTGCGTACAGCAGCGTCCCACAAACAGTCATGGATTGAAGTGACCAAATTATTACTGCTATTGTTTTCTTGAGGGATTATTATCAGGCGCGTGGAGTAAGGAAACTTGCCCAAGGTTTCACCCTGCCGGGAATCGAACCCAGGTCTCGCGCTTGACCCACATTGAATCAGAGCTCTTAATATATTCAGCAATCTCACGATTTGCTTGGCTGGACGCTGGAGCAAAAATAAATTGAACGGTTGGCGTTAAACAATGAAAGGTCACTTTCAGCCTTGATATACATTGCAATTTATATGTGAAAAAGCTTCTAAGCTACTTTTATTTCTCAAAGGAACAGCGTAATGGCAGTATTTATCCGGTGTAGATTGACGTTTATCGGAGATGGGAACGCATTCAGATGGAAAATGCTGCACTTTCTATTATACGCCTGGTGTTTTATGATTCCGAAAGGAGGCGACGCAGGGGCTGACAGAGGATCACGTGGGAAAATCGTCAATTTGTATTCACCGCGACTGACATTTCAGGTTGCAGTGTTTACATAAGTAAAAGGAGGGAGGCTGTAGATTGCTGTTAAAGAGAAACTTACTCGTGAAAACTCGTCAGGTTGGCTTCTCGTCAGTGGCAAATCAAATGATCACTTCCTTTAACTGCGCAACAAGGTGCTCTAAGAAAGTCTAGGACTGCAGAGCAATTGGCCCATCGAAACCCAAAGCAATTGATAATAATTGCCACCAGTTGTGAGGCTTTCTGTATACTTAAAACAGGTAACTGTAGGGTATGTGGTTAGAGCGCTCGCTTTGTGAGTGAGGACCTGGGTTCGATTCCCAGGCAGGGCGAAGAGTTGGGCAAGTTTCCTTACTCCACTCGCTTCTGTTTACCCAGCGGTAAGTAGGAACCTGGTCGTTAGTCGATTGGCGGATTGCTTCTCCGAGGGAAATTAAAAAATAAATTTGAAAAAAAAATGACAGTAATAATAATTAGTTCACTCGATCCACGACTGTTTGTGGGACACTGTCGCGCGCAATTGACTGCCGCATTCTTTGTAAGTTTCTTTTAAGAAACTACAGACAAACCTCGCTCTGAAAAGTCTCATCGATAGGACCCATCTGTGAATTCTGCTCCACCTATCGTCCCGTTAAGACAAAGTCACAGTTTGGTCGGAATTGCTTTATTCTATCGTAGCAAGATACACATTGCTCTCGTTTACAGTCTCCGGTACATTAAGCACGGGATATGGTTTGATCATGCGTTAACTTCGCTAAAGCATCTCTTACTTCACACAAGACAAATCGGCGGAGACTCTTGCCCTGAATTCGGTCAGTGGCGCTCAGACCGAGCCTGGGGTCTTTTCCTGCTCTGGTTTCTCTGTGGCTACCTCTTCCTCTCTGACCTGTTCCTGCCCCACTTCCTTCTCTTGCCTCACTTCCCTCTTGTCCTCCTGGTCCTTCTCAGCCGCGGGCTTCACCTCTGTCTGAACGGGGATGACAAACTCCACAGGAGCCTTGAGAGTCGGCTTGGGGAGAGGAGCCTCGATGGTAAGGATTCCATCGGACGTCAAGAATGAGTTCACTGCCAACAGGTCTGCTTCCGAAGGGAGCCTGTGATCACGTAACAGGAGGTGAAATTAATTAGGTTTTGTTCAGTCAAATGCCCATCCTGGATCCCACAAGATCTCTAAATGGGTCAGCCTGGCGCAGTGGGTAGCGCTCTGGCTTCCGAGTCAGAGAGTCATGGGTTCAAGCCCCCACGTCTGGGACTTGGAATCACATAGTCTAAGCTGACGCTCCATTACAGTACTGGGGGGAGGGGGTCAGTGCACCTTACAGTCCCTGCACTTTACAGTATATCACGGGAAGCAATTTGAGACATCTCGACGACGTGATAAGACGCTGAATCAAATGCGAGGATTATTATTATTATTATTATTATTATTATGATTATTATTAAATTTCACTTCTTTTCATGTTTGACATCGCTATTGTTTGCTGGCATTGTGAATTTTGTAAAGCGCTCAAATAATGATTGAATTTAAATCCCAATTTTCTAGCGCTTCGAGTCTCTAACCTGCATGAGGGTAAATACATGCAAGTCGTTGTTGTTGTTGTTACTCACTTATATTTTCTGATAAAACTGCGCGAAATAAATCCATGTCGATCTGGTCTTTCTTCATGTTTCCCTGCGAAGCAAAAGCATTTAATCTAAGTACAGTACATGAACTGTTTCCCAGGTGTATTAGGAAGATGGATACCGAATAAAGACAATTGATTTACCATTAGATTGGAGAGCAGTTCACGGTCTCTGCTGACAAAGCATCGAATAGCTATTTACAACTCGACGCAGAGAAGTCAGAGCTTCGATGCGAACACAAGCGTTTCCAATAAACATGGCATAAAACATATAACACAATATAATACTCCTCGCATTTGATACAGCGCCTTATCGCGTCTCAAAGCGCTTCGCACAATATGCTGTAACATGAATTGACGCTCCAGTACGGAGCTGGGGTGAACGTTGAGGTGTCGGAGGTGCTGTCCTTTGGATGAGACGCGTAGAGAAAAAAACATGGGGGTGACAGGTCTACGCGGACAACTTGTACATACAATATATTCCCAGATCTTGGATCAACTGGTAATGGCACCATCTAGTGTTCGAGATGTACAGGGCACATACTGACATCCCCAAAGCATTTGAAAATGCCTGTGGCATCGAACATAACATAACATGTAGGAGCAGGAGGAGGCCATTCGGCCCTTCGAGTCTGCCCCGTCATTCAATCATAGCTGATCTTCTAATCTAACTCCAGCTAATAACCTGACCCCGCCTTATCCCCATATCACTTAATCCCTTTTGCCATAAGAAATATATCTATCTCAGTCTTGAATATGTTCCAGGACTGAGCGTCAACAGCCCTTTGGGGTAGTGAGTTCCATACATTCACTGCCCTTTGAGTGAAGAAGTTCTTCCTCAACTCAGTGCGAAAGGGCTGCCTCTGATTTTAAGGTTGTGACCCCTGGTTTTAGTTTCTCCAACCGGGGAAACAATCTCCCACTATCTACTCTATCATGCCTTTTGATGATCTTATAGGTTTCTATAAGATCTCCTCTAATTCTTCTATATTCTAGAGAATATAGGCCCAAATTGGTCAGCCTATCCTCGTAACTATCTATCTATCGGTACCCAGTCACTGCACCTCACAGGAGATGCTATGAAGCGCTTTGAGACGTGAAGGTTCTGTATCAAATGCAAGGATTATTATTATTATTGGTTATTGTATCTGCTACTGGCATTTATCCGCCCTCGGATCATGTGTTATTGGTAACGGCAGCAGCACTCCTAACTTGTCAATAAGCGGAGATGATTGAAGTTGGTCACGAAAGCCATTTCCTGACACTGATTTAATAATAATAATATATAATAATAATTATAATTTCCACCGTAGTCGCCCACAGCACATACGCTGTGAGCTCAATGTCCCTGCGTTATTCATTGGGCACTTACAAGGCAAGATAATTGCTCCGTGGAATGAAAACATCTTTGCTTTATTACAAAATAATAATAATAATAATAATAATCCCTGCATTTGATACAACTCCTTAAGGTATCGCTGAGACAACTTAAAGCGCCTTACGTGATTCATTGTAGTGCGCAGTGACTGTGTGTTTTGTAGGTGAATGTGGCAGCTGGTTCGCATGTCCCACAAACAGCCGTGATGTGAATGACCTGTATTTTTTATTTAGGCGAGGGGGGAGGAATTCTCGGGTCCGATTGTTCAACTGTTTCAGTGCAAAAAAAGTCTATGGTTTTTCAAACATCTGCCCTCAGAAGTTTCAGGGAAGAAATAAAAGTTAATATCTCTTCCGTCTTGAACTTCTGAGATGGGAATGATTCTGGCGAACTTCTCTGTTTGCTTCTGGGAGATACTGAATTTTGGAAGGTTCCTTTCGATCGAGTCAAAATAATAATCATAATAACCCTTGCATTTGATCCCGCGCCTCATCACGTCTTCGAGACGTCCCAAAGTGCTTCAAAGAATACACTGTAAGGGGATTAACTGTATATTTTGTGGGCGAAACGAGTCGTCGAAAGAATGTGGACACCAAAGTCTTCGGGATTACGCGAGATATATTTAGACTGGAGACTCATTCCAGTCCCTTTGCGAATGGATCAGAACAGCCCACACTTCACTGATGTTCCCACTGTCTCTGTTTCTAAAGAGAAGGGGATGCAAAGCTATTGTGGTGCTCCACTGCGCTGGACTGCAGAGACCAGGGTCACGGAACACAGCCTTCCTCAAAGGGACTGAGAGGGTGGATACGCAGCAGATAGACAACAGTCTCTCTCATTTACCCCTGGAGTAAAGAGCTACACGGAATCATCAAAATTACAGCAGTCACCGCCACCATCCTATGCTGGTGTTATCTTTTCCACCGCACCGATCTATTCATCTGTTGATCTATTCGGATGAGACGTTAAACCGAGGTCCCGTCTTCCTGCTCGGGTGGACGTTAAAGCTCCCGCGGCGCTATCAGAAAGGAGAAGGGAGATTCTCTCTCCCGGATTCCGGGCCGATAATCCCCCTCCCCCAAGTAAAAATTGGTCACCCGCTCCACGACTTGGTTTAACGTAACATCCGAAGATATTTCACCCGCAAAATACACAGTCAATTCACTTTACAGTATATCCTGCGAAGCGCTTTGAGACATCTCGAAGACGTGATAAGGCGCTGAATCAAATGCCAGGATTATTATTATTATTATTATTATTATTTATTATTAAATTAAATGCGAGGAGGCTTGATATAAGGAAAGGGAAGAGAGGGAGCGCGACTTAGGAAAGATACCGATCCGTAAGAGTTGCTAATTTGTCGAGAGGGTGTGAAAGTTGGAGAGGGGACGTACCTGAGATCTCCACGGAGCCATCGTTCGCTTTCACCTGGATCTCCTCTGGAGCGAAATGCTTAACGTTGAGACTGATCCTCCACCTGTCTGAGGTCTGCTGGACTTCGGACAGCCCCCCACTGAGCCGCCCGTAAGGGAAGGTGGGGGGACACTGACCAGAAAGGGCCCTAGCCGCCGGGTAGGGGGGTGCGAAGCCTCCCGCCCAGCTCGGCCCGAGTCGTTTCTCCACCCACTCCATCCATTCCCTCGCCGCGGGTTCTTCGGGGAAGGGAGGCAGCCCGAAATCCTGGTCGAAAAGCCGGCTCGGGAAACGGCAGTTACCGAAGGGATCCCATCGAAGCCAACTGGAGTGAATTGGATGCTCGGACATTTTTGTGTGTGGGAGCGGCGGTGTGGGGTGGGGGCAGAGAGAGAGAGAGAGAGAGAGGACTTTGATCGAGTTGACCAAATAGTCACAGCTCAAGTTGCTGAGGTTCGTTACAATGCAGTGTCACCACATCTTGACTGTATTTATACATCCAGCCCATTGCTTGATCGCTGATAAATGGTCCCACAATTTGACACCAGGATCAGGATTGGCACTGTCCAACTGGTCTGCACAACGACAAAGGCATTTGCAATGACTTCAGCTGTTAAACTTAGAGAGCTGACTTAGAGGAAGGCATCAATTTATAAATAGCACGTACAGTCACCATCCCCTGACATTGTCACTCGTATAATAATAATGAGATGATAATCCTTGCGTTTTGATGTATAGCGCTTTATCATCTCAAAGCGCTTCACAGTATATATTGTAAAGTGCAGTCACTGTGTATTTTGGGGGTGAAACGCGGCAGCCAATTGCCCACAGCAGCGTCCCACAAACAGCCGTGGATCGAGTGCGCGCGTTATTTTTTGAGGGATTATTACCCCCGGAAAGCGATACGCCCATCGACGAACAACTAGGTTCCAACTTATTGCTGGGTAAACAGAGGCGTGTGGAGTAAGGAAAATCGTCTAAGTTTTGCGCCCCGCCCGGGAATCGAACCCGGGTCCTCTCGCTCGCCAGGCGAGTGCTCTAACCGCTACGCTGCAGAAAAATTGTGGGTCTTTGGATGGTCGTGCAGGAAGCTGAGCTAGACTTGAAGACTACATAATAAGCCTCCTTGCTCCCCCTGTTTTATCTTATTATCTTATTCACGTAACTTTTTTAAAGTATTATACGGTCTAATTATTTATTTATCCCATTCCAACTCCGATCAGTTTGCAAGTCAGGCCTTCTCTCCCACCTGACAAATTTGCTAGTCACGTTCGTTCCTTGTTAAAGTAAAGCCACTCAAAGCTGCGTCCCCTTTCATTTGCTCGATTGGTCAAGATGATGAGATTCTGCCTCTTAAATAATTGAATGCTGAGTGGCAGCCCGCTTAACATGGAACTCGTTCTACCACAGCCTGCTCGGAGCAGGACTCCACCAGGTCAGTTATAAGTTACGTGGACACATCCCAGTTTAGTCACTCATCTGGGCAAGCGAGGGGAAAATACCAGCGTTAATAACCAGAATAACCGTGCGCTCGCAACATGGCTGCACGTTTCCGGGTAATGACCACAACACGGTGCAGTTACTGGTATCGGACATTGTTACACTCGACTTATCTGCATCAGAAAGCAGTGGGAAGGGGTGGGTGGGGAAGGGGGTAACAGGACTTTGTGAACGCCTTGCGCTAACAGCCACTGTGTGTTGACAGAGATTCCAGATGCATGAATTATTACTCAGTTCCTTTAATATCCCCAAATTGCATTCTCGGAATATCAAACCCACGGCAACCCATTTACAAAGCATTACTGCCAGCTTCTCATCAAGGTGATGGATGCGAGTGCCGGAGAAACGGAATATGTTTGCACTGTAGGGAGCTTTCCTCTGCGTTAAGCATTCCCGGGGTCAGGCACAGTGTGGTTGGATTCCAAGCAAGTCTCCCTCTCCTTCCCCAATGGCCACGCCTTCCGCTTCTCACTCCGACTGCCGCAGCGACAAAAAACGTCAACAACAGCGTGCATTTATATCGCGCCCTTCACACGAGGCAGTGTCTCGGAGCACTTAACAGTGGCGGAGCACGGTGGGGGGGTGGGAGGTGACCATCAGCCCGGTCGAAGGGGAAGGTCTTCAGTCGAGATCTGAAAGAGCGGATGGAGGGGACAAGATGGAGGAACGGAGGGAGAGCGTTCCGAAGCTGTAGTGACTGCTGAAAGTGCAGCCGCTGATGGTTCCTCACGGTGAGGGTGTAAGTCCCCCAATTTGGTGAAGTTTAACACTGAAGCTGTGGTTGGTTTATTGTAATTTATATTAATAATAATCCTGGCGATTGATACAGCGCCTTTCAGGTCGGGAAGACGTCTCAAAGCTCTTTACGTGACTTCACTGCAAAGTGTAGAAATAACTTTAAGCGCTCCGGGATGCAGGTGAAGAGCGCTGTACAAAGGCAAATTGTTGTTGTTGTGGTCGTTGTTGAAACGGTTGTGCTTAACTACAACCTGGAACATAAATTAACCGGGTCTCTTTGTCTTTTGCCATTTTCCACTTCCATTTTCACTGACGAGAGGCGTCTCTCTCGCTCTCTTTTTTTTAAAAAAAGGGTTAAAATATTAAACGAGACGCGAGGCACCTGGTTTAGGTTTGGCAGTTTGTTCCGAGTCTGTGAAATATTGGTCTCAGGTGCGATCAGCTCCTGAGTTTGCGCGCGAGGATACTTTAGCGACGTTGGAAGTTTGAAGATGGGATCTGCGGGATCTGGGAGGGAAAATGTAATTGTTGCCGACGGCTTTAGCGCTCGCTGTGCGAGAGGGTTCAGAAATAGAGTAACTAACAAGCTCTGAATTCCAGACCTAATGAACTGGCATTCCTGGGAACTTTCACTTTCTGGAGGAATTTGAGAGTGAGATGGCGAAGCACTCTTACGGCTCGCACGCAAACACACACGCGCGCAAACACACACGCACACACATGCATGCAAACACACACACACACATGCACACAGGTATACACACACGCACGTACACACACACACAAACACACATCACGGTCATTACATGACTGACCTATCACCAGGCTATAACATTGGCTGCTCTAATGTTTTTCAGTATCAGTTGTTCCAGTTGTTGTTGTTGTTGTTGTTGTTGTTGAGGTGTCATCCCTCTGTGAGATGTTAAACCAAGGTCCAATGCGCACCCTGCACCCACGGTTCAATTCCCGAGCATGGCGAAACCTTAGTCAAGTTTCCTTACTTCGCTCATCTCTGTTTACACAGCAGGAAGTAGGAACCAGGGTGTAAGTCGATTGTCAGATCGTTTTTCCGGGGGTAATAATCCCTCCTCCCCCCTCCCCCCAACAAAAATGTGGTCACTCAATCCACGATTGTTTGCGGTGCGCATTTGGCTGCTGTGTTTCGCATAAGAATACACAGTCACTCCATTTTACAATATAGTCTGTGAAGCGCTTTGAGACGTGTCAACAACATGAAAGGGCGCTCTATCAAGCGCAAGGATTATGATTATTACTATTATTATTATTATTTCATAAAGGGAAGGGACAGGTGTCCTGACCCATCAACCCGCATATAAAATTGGTCATTCACTTCCTGACTGTTTCATGATTGTTTGCTGTGTGCAAATCGGCTGACGTGTTTGCCGAGAAAATCCACTGTCAACTCCCTTTGCGGTAAAATCCTGTAAAGGAAGCCCTTCAGCCCATCTGATCCCAACTTTGCGGAATCCGTACTTTTCGGTTTGCTTTTATCATTTTTTTAATAAAAAGACCGTGGTTTGAGGGTCACAGTTTTAGATGTAACTTCACAGAAAGTCATTGCAGGGCTCCGCCATCCAGATATTGCTTTATTATATGTGTGCGTTTTTTCTATTAAAAAACAATAAAATATTTCCTGATGTTATTCAGGTGATATCAGTCTCCATCACAGCTGTGGTATACCAGAGTCTTGGGACGTCCGCCCGACGTGAAAGGCGCTATGCGAATGCAATTTTGTCGCGGTCGTCGGTGCAGTTTGCGGAGGTATCCGATTTGCAACTTGGCTCGGAATCTGCCGCATTTCCAAAGGGGCGTCAGGAAAGAAGCATTCGAATCTGGAGCGCAAAAGGGGTGGGTGGGGGGATGGGGGGATGGGGAGGAGAAAACAACATTTATTTTTGGAAGCCGAAAAAAAATGACTTGCTGAGAACGACTTTTTATCAAAGTAGAAATAGCCTTCAGAGGAAAAATCCCAGTCGTATATTTAAAGGGGACGGGTGAGAGAGACAGAGCTAGAGAGAGAGAGAGAGAGAGAGAGAGGAAGAGGGAGAGAGAAAAAAAAACACCCTTTCTTTCATGAGTTGGAGTGAGCCGTGGCTTTGTTTGTTACCATTGGAAACAGAGGCTGTTGGACAAAAACATAGGGAAACATAGTCTTAACTAAGTAATCGGCTGTCGGTTTTACAGGTGGTTCGAGCTGACGGAGGGTTCACGTGGGTGCACGGAATGATTATTTTGTTCAACGAGAAGGAAGGCCTGTGAAACGTTTTAAAACAGTTCAAAAACTTTTTTAAAGTTTAAAAGCTGAAAAAGTCTCCCTTATAGTTTTTTTTCCCCCGAAAGACAAGTTTTGAACTTCTCTCTTTCTCTCTCTCTCTTTCTCGTTTCTTTTTTTTCTCTTTTTCTTGTTAGGAAAAAGTTTTTCGTGAAAACTTTTCTTTTGTTTGGGGTGGGGTGGGGGGTGGGGGGGAGACAGAAAAACATGTTTGAGTTGTTTTGCAGAACTTTCACGTTCCCCCCCACCCACCCCACACGCATTCCCCCTCCCTCCCCACACATTCCCCCCACCACCCCACACACCTCCCCCTCACCCCATACGTCGCTCCCCCACCCCCCACCCCACACATCCCTCCCAACGAAACGTTTTTCTTGAGCTTTCGCAACAACAACTTGCATTTTATACAGCGCCCCACGCATCAGGTTGCGTCCCAGATTGCTTGATATATAACGTAACCCTCTTGCTTTTTTTTCTGCTCAGCTCAGCAATGCCTACGCAGAGCTGCCGAGGGCTAGACCCGCGGAGTTTCGTGATCATTCAGCCCTTGCCCTCCCCGCCTCTCGGAGGGTTAAAGATTCAGGCGAGAAGCTTGACCTCAGAGCTTGGCGTCTACAATCCCTGCGAGCCCAGCAGGGAGCAGATTTTCCGAGAGAACTATCGGCGCAGACAGAGGCAGCTGAGCCAGCAGGGATACAGGTCTGTCAGCTGGAAACCCTATCAGGAAATCGGAGCGCCTCTCTACCTGGAGACCAAGAAGCTCATTCTGCATTCGCTGGGGCAGCTCGATCAGGTCAGAGTTTAACCTTAACCTGTTGTAGTAACAATAACAGTAATAATCCTTGCATTCGATGCAGCGCCTCATCACGTCGTTGAGACCACTCAGAGTGCTTCACGGGAAATATACTGTAAATATACTTCGTATTTTGGTGGCTAAACGTGGCAGCCGATTGCGCACAGCAGTGTTCCCTCCAAACATCCATGGGATGAGGCTGAGAGGCAGAAGGTTGTGGGTTCAAGCCCCAAGTCTAAGCTGACACACAATGCAGTGCTGGGGGGGGGTGGGTGGGTGTGGGTGGGCGGGGGGTTAGGGGTTGCACTGTCGGAGTTGCCGCCCTTCAGATGAGACGTTAAACCAAGCTCCCGTCTGTCTGTTCAGGTGGACGTTAAACATCCCCGCGGCGCTATTTGAAAAGAGAAGGGAGTTTCTCTCTCTCTCCCGGTGCCTTGGCTAAGAATCCCCCCCAAATAAAATTGGTCGCTCACTCCATGGCTGTTTGTGGGGACGCTGCTGTGCGCTACTGGCTGCCGCGTTTGGCCCACAAAACACACAGGTCACTCCACTTTACAGTATATTCTGTGAAGCGCGTTGAGACGTCTCAACAACGTGATAAGCCGCTGTATTATTACATAGTGTTCCTTTTAGCCACCTGCCCTCCAGGATATTACCGATGAGACACACGGTACAGCGGAAGAAAAACTTGAAGAAGTAAAACTCCCCGTCTCCCCAGACGTCTCAAAGGATGACAAGGTAACCAACCTGTCATTCTTCTGGTGTCGTTGCTTGATAATGACTTCGCTTAAGTGAGCATTTCACATCTCACAAACTGTGTGTCGGCCTGGCTCAGTCAGTGATGCTCCTGTCTCAGAGTCGCAAGGTTGTGAGTCCTAAACCCCATATTGCAGTCCCGTAGCGTAGCTGTTAGAGCGCTCGTCTCGCAAGCGAGAGGACCCGCATTCGACCCCCGCCGAGGTAAACCTTTAGGCAAGTTTCCTTTCTCCACACGCCTGTTTACCCTGCAGCAAGTAGGAAGCTGTTAGTTGATTGTCAGTTTGCTCTCTCTCTCTCTCTCTTTCCCTGGACGGACGCCCCCTGCTTACCTAATTCTGGAGAGTATTAGGCGCAGTTTGGCAAGAGCCAAGGCTTGGAGGGAGAGCCCAGAGTGTGCGTTGGGGTAACTGCTGGAGTCTTAACCAACTAAAGTCGCGGAGTTTGCATTGATATTGCTGTCCGGCAAGCTTTCCTGCTGCTTGTCCAGCTGGGACCACCCTACCCCTACGCAAAGTGAAAGCTCAAAGTAACGTCCGGCAGAACCGTGCTTGAAGATGGACAAAGGTTGACAGAAATGGAGGGGATTTTTTTTTGCCGTTGTTTTGCAGTTATTCCCCGGAAAGCTGTTGCGTCTGACTCACGAGAGCAGAGAACTGAGGACCATCCGTAAGGATCTCGTCCACACAAGGTAAAAGGACAAGGCAAAGGTTACGTCCTCTGAGTAGCTCAGCTGTGCATTGCAATGATTCGATGCCCGACACAAGTTTTGTTCAACGCGACAGATCTCAAAGTTGAGGCAGGGAATTGAAGGGGTGGGAAAAATGGCCTTCGATCGACACCAGAGGGAGGAGGAAGAAACTCCCTTCTCTTTTCGAACAGTGCCGTGGGATTTTCTACCGTCCGGCTCAGCAGGCGGGCGGATGGGACCTCGGCTTACGGGACGTCTCAGCCGAAGGAAGGCACCTACCTCTGACAGTGCGGAGTGTCGGCTTAGATGGCGCGAGGACAGAACCATCTCCGCGATCGCCCGACACTTCCATCGAAGTGTCAAGGCAACAACATGAGGCGATGCTCTGACTGAGCAGGAACAGACGGTGCCACCAGGTGGTGCTACTGGCAGCATTTTGCCAATGAGTAGAACCACCCCCCCCCCCCCCACCCCGATCTTGGGTTAAAAACATCACCCTGCGGGTTAAAATCCAACATAATTCCAGCTTCGCTGGCAAAACAGCGAATTTACTGCCGCTCTAGTTGGGTAGTAGTTCCCGTTGCGTTGCCAAGCTTCCCCTCCTGCTGCCCGCGGGCAAAGCAGCTCTTAGTAGATAAAACATCAGCAACAACAACAACTTGAGCTACACAGCTCTCGCCACTCAGGGTAGCGTCTCCGAGTGCTTAACAACGGCGGAGCGGTGGTGGGGGGGTGGTGAGTGGGGGGTGGTGGGGGTGTTGATGGCTGTAATTATATTGAAGGAATGCAGACAATCTGCAAGTATTCATCATCTCAGCCTCACCGTTGAAGAGGAAGGTCTTCAGACGCGCCCTGAAGACGGGGAAGGATGGGGGGGGGGGGTGGCGGGTGGTGGGGGACAGGGCCAAGGCGGAGCGTGCTCCAGACTTTTCGGGGAGCAGTGGCTGAAAGGGCGGAATGGAGGATGGAACGCGGACTCCTTATTACTGAGCCCCGAGGTTAATGCGCTGATGAAGCCGACCTTAAACGGCCTGACTCCGCTGCGGCCCAGTCTTATCCATCAGCACAGTTAATAATTGCTCTCAGCACTCGAACAATTCATCACTGCCGCTTCCAATACGGCCTTTTCTTAGTTTCGGAGCGGACAAACAGCACGTTTTGTACAGCTTCTGCTGTAAGGTGATTTCTCTCTCGATCCGGTGCGTGTGAGTGTGCGAGAGAGAGAGAGAGAGAGTGGTTTCCATTATTTTGTATCAATGTTAATTCCACACAGCTGTGATGATGACTATAGACCCTGCGGATGAATCCCTCTCTCTCTCTCTCTCGCTATATCAGAAATATGAGCTTCCATTCTTGTTGCTGATCACCAATTTACTCGAGTGCATTGTGGGTTACAAGAGGGAAGTAATAATAATAATAATAATAATAACAATACTAATAGCCCTCGCATTTTAAACCCAGCGCCTTATCGCATCATCGCGACGTCTCTAAGAGCTTCGCAGGACACGCTGTGAAGGGGTGGGGGGGGGGGGGCGGTGGGTTTGACTTAAATACCGTTTGCATGATTCAATCGCTTCCCGTGCTAACGCGCTGGTCTTGATTTGTTTCCCTCTGCGTTGGCAGCCAGAGGTTCAAGCAGAGCTCGCCCGGGCTGACGGTTTGCATGTTAATTCCCTTAACAACTCCCTTAACAACGGGTAATCCGCTCGCTCTGTAACGAGCCCACCGTTTGCAATCTCGTCCGGATAATTGGCCGCAGGGTCAACAACTTGACATTTGCCGTTGCCACCGCGACCGTTGAAATCGACAACGAGACCAAAACGCGCGGCGGAAACGCGGACGTTTCATCGTCTCCGCAGTAGGCTGTGCGCGTGTTAAACGGGGGAGGTGTGGTGCAGGTGCAGACACCCACACACACACACACTCACGCACGCGCACACGCACCACACACACGTGTGGAACTCACAGTCTGGTTTGGATACTCTTAACCACAGGTGCTGGGTTTCCGCTTGGGTCAGACGCCTGTTAAACCGAGGTCCCGTCTGCCCGTTCGGGTGGTCAAGCGCTCTGAGACACTGCCCTGCGTGTAGGGCGTTGTATAAGTGCAAGTTGTCATTGTTGTTGTTGTCATCAAACATCCGGCGACAGGATTTATTTTTCGTCAGAACGAAAGGCCATCGACTCGAAATGTTCGCTCGCTTTCCTCTCTCCATAGATGCTGCCTGACCTGCTGCGGGTTCCCAGCCACTTCTGTTTTTATTTCAGACTCTCAGCCTTTGCCCTTTGCAGGGATTTATTTGATTTGCCCCTCGTTGGGCGGCTAACGGATATGTCGTTTGCCGGTTTCCAGACAGCTGATGAGCGCGGTGAGGCGGGGAGCGGGCTACTTCAAGTGTCTGAAGAAGGAGGAGGAGGAGAAGGAGGGCGAGTTGTTAGCCGCGAGGCGGAGGCGAGAGGAACAGCGCAGGGCGGCCTGGAACCCACCCAAACCTTCATCAGACGAGGAATCCGAGGGAGAGCAAAGTGACCCTGAAAAGTACGTCTGTATCAGGCGGATTCTGGGCTGGTGCTTCAGGGTCAAACACCTTACGCAGATTTAATAATAATAATATTGATAGTAATAATCCTTGCATTTGATATAGCGCCTTATCGCGTCTTCGAGACGTCTCAAAGCGCTTCGCAGGACAACGCTGCAAGGTAGATTTGACGGCGTATTTTGTGGGCAAAGCAGTTATATCGTTATATCAAATGCAAGGATTATTATTATTATTGTTAATATTTCCTTAGCTTTTTTAAAACGGAGCCAGCGTCCTTCGAGGTGACCGGGCAAGGATCAGAGACGGGCAGGTGGTCTTCAAGGAGGAAGAGGGTGGTGCCTACACGACCTTTTACCCCGATACACTGCAGCCTGCTGTCAACCAGGTTGACGGAGAGAGATGCGTGAGTAAGCCCGAAAAAGTCCCGTTCGCGATACGGGGTGTTGTTTGGCAAGGCCCTCCCTCGCCTCCTTCAAGACCCTCCTCTTCGACCGCGCCTTCGGTCACGCTCCTACCACCCCTACCCTCCCTGCCCTCCACACACCCCCCACCCCTCCTGATCCCAACCCGTCCCAGCTCGGGTCCAAGTCCCCGACAGCCCAGGGCCTTGGGACGTCCTCAGGACGGGAAAGAGCCCGTGCGACTCGACCTTGCATTCAGTATCGCATCTTAACAGGTCGTCAAAATATCTTACAGTTGCCTCGCAGGATTTACTGGTAGAATGCAGGGTTTTTTTTGGAGGTGAATGGGGCAGTCAGTTTGCACGCAGTGCCCACTAAAGCCGTGGCGTTGAATGGCCAAAGTTACCTGGGGGAATTGTTCCTTTCTCTTTTCAAACAGCGCCACGGGATGATAGTGCTAATAATAATATAATAATAATAATAATAATAATAATAATCCTTGCATTTGGTATAGCGCCCAATCAAGTCTTCGAGACGTCCCAAAGCGCTTCACCGGATATACTGTTCAGCGAATCGACTGTGTGTTTTGTGGGCGAAACACGGGCAGCCAATTGCGCATAGCGGTGTCCAACAAACACTCATGGATTTGGGGTGGGGAGGAACCAAATCATATTATTATTATTATTATTAATTTATGTATTTTCCTCTCTCCCTTCCCTCCCTCTGTCCCGTTCTCTCCCCCTCTCCTCTCCTCTCCTCTCCTCTCCTCTCACACACACAGCGAGACTCTCTTCCGCCAGCTCTGTGTGCTGATCTGGCTGCTGGAGACATTGACCGTCGAACCACCCAACGCCACGGGAAGCGTGTTGACCTGTTGGAGCGGCAGGTGAGCTAACCCCGAGAGCCGGTGGGCACACAGCACCACCTCGGGTGCCAGCATCCATTTGATGGTTCGATTCCCGGGCAGGGCGAAACCTTAGGCGAGTTTCCTTAACCCACGCGTCTCTGTTTACCTCGCAGTAAGTAGGAACCCGGTTGTTAGTCGATTGGCGGATCGCTCCAAACTCACTCAAGTTTGCGGGGACGCTGCCGTGCGCAATTGGCTGCCGCGTTTCGCCCACAACACACGCAGTCGATTCACTTTACAGTATATTCCGCGAAGCCCTTTGAGACGTCTCAACGAGGCGATAAGATAAGGCGATAATCAAAGGCAAGGCTTATTTATTATGATTGGTGCTGCACCTTACAAGTAACACCTACGTTCCAGAGTCGATTGACAATTGGCACGAAGCTTACAGCTGATTAAAAATGGGTGTCAGCCTGGCTCAGTGGGTAGAGCTCCCATCTCTGGGTCAGAAGGTTGAAACGGTTGCAATGGTTCACAGGAGTCCTGTAGCTCAGTGATTAGAGCACTCGCCTCGCAAGTGAGAGACCTGGGTTCGATTCCCGACCGGGCAAAACTTTGGGCAAGTTTCCTTACTCCACACGCCTGATAATAATCCTTCAAAACAAAAGCAATAATAAAATCGGTCACTTCCATCCAACGGTGCTTGTGGGAACGCTGCTGTGCGCAATTGGCTGCTGCGTTTCGCCCACAAAATACTCAGTCAATTCACTTTACAATCTATTCTGCGAAGGGCTTTGAGTGCATCTGGAAGACGTGATAAGGCGCTGTACTAAATGCAAGGATTATTATTTATTATTATGGTTATTGAATGGGAGGAATCCTACCCAGCGTTCAGGCCTCCAGAGTTTTCCTTTCTGTTTCAGAGATCCGGGAGGAACCAAAAGCTCAACCAAGAGGATCAATAAAGATAAAGCCATAGAAACCAAATGGGAGCAGTTCGTGATGCAATCCAAGGTAACCTGCGCTCTCACCTTCGTGTCGCGCCGGTTGGAAGCTCTCTCGCCTCTGAGTCAGAAGGTTGTGGGTTCGACCCCCACCCCCCCGCGCCCCTCACCCCACGTCAGGACTTGCTGCATCATCGGGAGGTGCCATCCTTCGCTTGAGACGTTCCCGTGCTCCGCTCTTAGGAGATGTTAATGCCGGGTGAAGGGGAGCTGTATAAATTCAAGCGGTTTAGTTTGACCCAACTCCCCTGTCCGCACCTGTTCAGGCGGACGTTAAAGATCCCGCGGCACTATTCGGAAAGAGAAGGGAGTTTCTCTCTCTCTCCCTCTCTCTCAGTTTCCTGGCCAACAATCCCCCCTCTCCCCCCCCACCCAATAAAATGTAGTCATTCACTTTGGGACACTGCTGTGCGCAAACTGACCGCCATGTTTCGCCCACAAAATACAACAACAACACCAGGGATCAGGGAGGGTGGAGGGCAGTGGCGGGAGGGGGGTGTGGGGTGGGGAGGTGACACAGGGAGATTGAAGGCAAGGTCGAAGAAGAGGCTCTTGAGAGACACGATCAATCCACTTTACAGTGTATCCCGTGAAGAGCTTTGCGACGTCTCGACGAGGTGATGAGTTGCCATATCAAATATCAGGATGATTAAACCCTGTGAAGCACTTAGGGACGTCCTCACGATGGGGAAAGGCACTGGATAAGATGTAAGGACTATTATTCTTATTCATTTCTAGGGTAAGAAGCTGGGCCATCGGACCCCCCGCAGGACATCCTTCCACCTGCGGAAAACCTCCTTCGGGAGCGCTTCCCGGATCAGCCTGATGTCGTCTAACCAGACACTGGTTCCCGACAGCGCCTCGTCTTTGATGACCAGCTCTGATGAGCTGGCGGCCGGCACCTCAGGGCTGAACCTCGTGTGCGAGACTCAGGAGGAGGAATCGGCCACCAACGGCTCCGTCAGTCACAACAGGCAGGAGCGGGAGGACGAAGAGCCGGTGACAGACTGTGAGTGAGCAGCCTGACCCCCCCCCCCCCACCCACCCACTCAACCCCACTCCCCACCCCACCACACACACACCCCCCCCCCCCCCAACTACCCCCGAGAGGGTTTACTGCCCATGCAGCCTCAGATCTCAGCCTCTCGTCCACTTTAAGACAGTGTTGAAACCCCCCTTTGCCTCATGTTGAGAACCCAACATGGCCTCTCTCTCCCAACTCACCTTCAGCCACTCCTCCCCACTCTTCCCAAAACCTGGAACTCCATCCCAGAATCCCTACACTCCCCCCCACCATCCCCCACCCCACCCTGCATCTCTCCCACTCCCCCCCCACCCAAGACCTTGATCAGGCTTGCGCTTACAAATGGGGGCAATTCGAGGACAGCCACCAGGAAGCTTCTCTTCCCGACTGGGACGAGGTTGCCAGGAAGGGTGGTTGAGAGCAAGGCACTGGGACGAAACAACAACAGCAACTATATAGCGCCCTTAAGGGGGTTGGAGGGTAGCTTCCCGGAGAGCTTCACAGCGGCGGAGCCTGACAAAGAGCCAGGGGGAGAGGGAGGGGGAGGGGGGGAGGACTTGTTTAGAAAGCAGCTTGATGCTGCGATGGGAGGAGGGCAAGAGTGGGGCGGGCGTTCTGGAGGGATGAGATCTAACGGGCTGGAAAGGCCTTCTTCATCCGACCCGGCCTTGTGACCCGGTGTGATAATAAATAATTGATAACGATAATTTGGTCGCTGCAATCCACGGCTGTTTGTGGGGACGCTGCTGTGCGCAATTGGCCGCCGCGTTTTGCCCACAAAAAAGATACAGTCAATCCACTTTACAGTGTATCCTGTGAAGCGCTTTTGAGACGTGGCGAAGACGTGATAAGGCGCGATATTAAATGCAAGGCTTATTGTTATTATTATTATTGTTGTTATAAATTGCTCTGGGTTCCCAGTTCACTCTCCAGTGTAATGTTTGTCGTTGCCACCGGGTGACGCCACGGAACCGGGTTTGGGCTTAATCCCTGCATTATACGGTGTTCGGCCGAGTCAGAAATGTTTCCCCGCGTCCATCCTCCGTTTCACTCCCAAGTCGGAAAATACGAATTGATCAAAATCGGTTAAAAAAAAAGAGTGGATGAAAAAGGCTGTCCGAGGTCCCAATTTTTTTCCCTTTCGCGCAACTGTGTGTTGTCGTTCGCTTCGAGGCTGTCTGTGGGGGACGCTGCTGTGCGCAAATCAGCGGCCGCCTTTCGCCCACAAAACGCACCAGTCACTGCACTTTACAGTCAGTCCTGTGAAGCGCTTTGAAATGTCTGACGACGCGATAAGGCGCCATATCAAATGCAAGGATTATCACTATTGCTATGATTATTAGCCCAGCCCCACATCACAGGAATAGATGCCCTGATTCTTACCCCAAATCCTACAACTACTCACGTGTCTCCCCGCTTGCCCCTTGTCCCCATATTCCTGACATTTTAGATATCATTTCCCCTTTTCCCCAAACCCGCTCCCCTGCCTCTGATCGCCCCTCCACCTCCCTCCTCCCCGGTCTTCCAGGATCAGCCACATGGCCACCGCCTTTTAACACAGGAGGTGTGCGATGTAGAAGGGTTTGAAGCAGCAGGTGCTGAGATAACATCGCACGATTACTAAGCAACCAGGCTGCACAGACTGAGCCGTCGTCGTCCGTCAGGCTGGAGATGGTGATGATGCCACGTTCAGTCTGGGGCGGTGTGACCTCCCAGGGCCTCCGTCTCTTCCCCTCAGAGAGCGTCACAGACGCCGAAGGGCCTTCACTGAGGTCCCCTTCCCTCTCCCCACCACCCCACCCTCTCCCCTCCTCCCCCTCCCCTGCCCCCGCAATGCAGGTGGCCGTGTCCAAAGGAAAGGGGTTAAATTGAAGGGGATTAAATTCAGAAAGAACTCTTGTCTGCCCACAATCAGAGAGAGAGAGAGAGAAAGAGAACGAAAGAGAAGCGAGTGCTATAAAATGGCTGACTTAAGCGCTCCGAGACCCCGTCCGGCGTGAAGGGCGCTGTGTGTGAATACAAGTTGTTGTTGTTTTGTTGTTGTTGTTCGGGCTGCCAGGTCGCTGCTGATGTCACTTCTGGTACAATGCGGGCGCGAGGCGACCTCACTTCCTGTGCGCCGGTCGCGAGAAGCAGCTCACACACAGCGATTTCCTCACCGAGTGGGAGTGGGAGGGGCTGCATAGCAGTAAATAGCATTGGATCCACTACAACAACAGCAACAACAACAACAACAACAACAACAACAACATTACCTGAGGGTGACTGAAGGCACGGTCGAAGAGGATCTTGAGATGGGTCTTGAAGGAGGCAAGGGAGGGGGCGAGGCGGAGGGACTGTGGGATGGAGTCCCGGAGGGTAGGGGCAGAGTGGCAGAAGGTCTGCCCGCCAATGGTGGGGTGGGTGAGGCGGGGGAAATGAAGCAGGCCTGAGCCCACTGAGCGGAGGGAGCGACCAGGATGGTAGGGGGTTAGGAGTTGCAGAGATAGGGGGGAAGCGAGACCGTGGAGGGCTTTGAAGGTGAGGACCAAGATCTTGAACTGCATCCTCTGTGTGATGGGAAGCCAGTGGAGTCGGGTGAGGACGGGGGTGATAGGGTCACGGAGCGTAGTGCGGGAGAGGACACGGGCTGCAGAGTTCTGGATGATCTGCAGCCTGTGGAGGGAGGAGTTGGGGAGGCCGACAAGCAAGGAGTTGGCATAGTCAAGCCTGGATGTAATGGCTGAGGGTTTCAGCGGCCTGCAGTGTGAGACAGTGGCGGAGCCGGGCGATGTTGCGGAGTTTACAGATACAAATTGGCCGACATACCATAGAGGGACGTATGATTCTTGTATATGTATTGACAGACCTGAGGAAACTGCTGGAGTCTGTGCACCAGAGCATAGCGAAGGAATTACACGGAGAAGAGGGGGCTGAGAGGAAGAACTGTAAGGAAAGGTAACGTATTCTAACACAAGGGGGTGGGACATTCCATCCGGTCTCCGTTGACTCTCCTTATGGCATATTTCGGAGCATCCAAAATTCGGCAAATTTGCCAGCCTGGGTAAGGAGGGAAGATATAAGGGAGGAACGAGACGCATGGTTCGCAGAGTGAAGGAAGATTTGGCTCATCTGATCGGACGCACAGATAGATGTTTCTCTTTTATCTTAGCTCGGCTGCGGCTCCGAGGAGCGAGCAGAGGTGCGGGTGGACTGATCGCAGTGTAGAACAGCAACAGCAACAGCAGCAGCAACAGCAGCCTGGGGTCTGTCAACCTGCCCAGCGACCCAGAAGGTGAGCCGTGAAGTCTTCTCAGTCCATGGAGTGTTTCGTGCAGACCAGGCTTTTTAACTCCAAATTAATCCTGCTTCGCTGCAATTCCAGCTAACGCCTGTCAATCGTGGCCAACATTTCCCCCCCCACCCCCCAACCGCTTTACCCCTCTCTCCCCGCCCCCACCACCCACCCCACCCCGGCAGTGATTCTGCCTGTCTCAGTCGATAACACTCTTACCTCCTGAGTCAGACGGTTGTGGGTTCAAACCCTACGCCGGAAGCTCACAGTCTGACTCTCGCTCCAGCGCAAGGCTGGGGGCAGCACTACTCTATCGGAAGAGACGTGAAGCCGAGGTGCCCCTTTGTGCCTCCATAGTTTCGTCCGACGCACGTTTGACTTTGACATGTACGATACGGCAGGCGTGGTTTGGGGTGGGAGCCTTGTCTTTGGTGGGTTAGGGGCAGCGGACGAAGGAGTTAAAGTGACCGTTCTCCCTCTCCCCCTCCTGTCCCTCAGCTCCCCGACACACCCCTTCTCGAACGCCGGCCGCTTTAGCGCCAGCAAATCGAGGTTCTCGGCAGATCTGCAGTCAAAGTTCGTCGAGGTAGCGGAGGAGGCTGTCTTGTCTCTGCACGACAGCCTGGCATGTTTAGAGAGGTCAGTGCGTACTGCGTGTGGGCGCTGCGTGTGTATTGCATGTGCACTGCACGTCTGCATAGTGTGTGCTGCTCTCGGGCAGCGCGTCTGTGTCTGTGCAAACAAACCAGAACAACACGTGTCTTAACGGCTTTCACGTCGGGAGGACAGCCTGAAGCACCGGATGGTCAGGGATTTGGACCTGAGCTGGGGGTTGGGATCAGGAGGGGTGGAGGGAGGGTGGAGGGTAGGAGGGTGATCGAAGACGCGGTTGAAATGGAAGGTCTTGAGGTGAGCCTTGAAAGAGGCAAGGGAAAGGGGGAGGGGGGGGAAGGGGCGAGGTGAAGGGACTGTGGGATGGAGTTCCCAATGGTGGGGGCAGAGAGGCTAAATGCACATCCCCCTGATGGTGGGGTAAAATGGGTCACGGCTCAGATGTGAGGTTCGAAGGACAGTCGAGTGTCAAACAAGATGCCAAGGTTCCTTACTGGCTCAGCGAGGTGTGGAGTGCATCCCGTGAACGGTGATGCTATCAGCACCCGAGGTGTGGAGCGCTAACGGGAGCCAAGCAGGAGGCCATGAGCCTTGTTGACGCTCGACTGGAAATTGACACGTCTCTCTCTAAAGCGCATCGCGGTGACTCTTTTGGCGCAAGGCTGTCAGCTCTGGAGGCCTCACCCACTTTGCCCTTCGCTGAGCATCTCGTTGGCAAATCTAGGAAGCGTTTGGACAGCGGCAGAAGCAAATTGAACGCCTTAGACCAGCCGAGGAGCCCCCACACGTACGCTCAGGACTTGTGCCGATTGGCTGAAGAGCCCGGGCCAGATCAAGTTCAAGGCCGGGCAGAGACCTGGTGAGCATCAAAGACGTTCGCAAACTAATCCCATCCATTCTTATCAAGTCCCCTTTTCCTCACCTCAACCCTGCTTCAACCGCCCACCCCACCAACCCCCCCCAACACCCCCCCACCCACCCCACCCACCCCTCCAATCCCCTCCCCCTCTCCCTATCTTAAAACTTAACATCGCCCCAAATAGTGGCAAGGTTCAAGTTCTTAAAATCAGACTCAATTTGGAAGCCCAGAATTTTCTTGCAAGTGAGAGGACCTGGGTTCAATTCCTTGGGGCAGGGCAAAATCTTTGGCAAGTTTCCTTACTCCACACACACACGTCTCTAGGCTGTTTACCTAGCAGTAAGTAGATAGTTAGTCGATTGGCGGTGATAATCCTTTCCTTCCCCCCCCCCCCAAAATGTGGTCACTCACTCAATCCACGACTGTTTGTGGGACGTTGCTGGGCGCAATTGGCTGGGGCGTTTCGCCCACAAAATACTCAGTCACTCCACTCTACAATATATTCCGTGAAGCGCTTTGAGGCGTCTCGAAGATATGATAAGGCACTGTATCAAATGCAAGGCTTATTATTATTATTATTATTACAGTTAACGATTTCACAATAAACAGGATTCAGCCTCACTGTTTCTCTTTAAGGGTGACATGTTTTTTAGGGGGAGGTAAAATTGAGCCAATTCAGACCAGGAAACGTGTCTCTATTTTTTACGCACCCCTTTCCTCCCCGCTCCTTGGCCCTGATTGCCCCTCCTTTCCCAGGTTCTCTGGCCTGCTGTCCAGAATTCCCGAGGGCCTGAAGGAAAATCCGCAGATCAGCCGGGCGCTGAGGAGACTGTCGAAGCTCGGAGACCGTCAGGACTTGAGGGTTCGATCCCAGCACTTCCTTAGAGTGCTGAGCGGACTCCGAGACTGGGAGCTGTGCTCTCCCTATGTCAGCTCAGCTATCGAGGTGAGGGCATCTCCCCCAATCCCACCTAGTCTTAGCCCCTCATACCATATTGCCACAAAAAAGTGTCCTGGTCAACAATCATAGAGACCAACTCATCCTCCACTCTGCAAACCATGTGTCTTATTCCACCCCAATATAATAATAATATCTATATATCTTCCCTTCCACCCCCATCGCCCTCCCTTCTCCCCGATTTTTCTCCATATGGACTATTGCACAAAATACACATATCATTTCACTTTACAGTATAGTCCTTGAAGCGCTTTGAGACGTCTCGACGACATGATAAGGCGCTATATCAAATGCAAGGATTATTATCTCATCCGAAGGATGGCATCTCCGACAATGCATTGCTCCCCACCCTATCCCTCTGAGCCCCCCCCGCCGCCCCCTCCCAACACTGCACTGGAGCATCGGCCTTGACCGTGCAAATTCTAAGTCCCGGTCTGGGGTTCGAACCCACAACCTTACTCATTGCCCCCAAGTGACTGCTATCCTGTCTACATCTCGTTCACAGTTTACACGGGACAAAGTGGTTCAGATGTCAGCGGAGGATTATGACTCCTGGCTTCAGCTGCGGGTGGATATAGCGAAGCGATGTCCGAGTGCACCACCACCCATGAGGTGAAAGGTCAAGGGGCCAAAAACGGTCCCGCTTCCTGTTCGACGTAGAATGTTCGATGTGCGTGGATTTCTTTTTCCTTTTTTAATGAAAAAAACCAATCGCGATGCATTTGACCGTTTTCTATCCCAAACGCAAGTGTGTCGTTTGCTGTCCAGTGGAGATTGTGTTAGTATTAATTATTATTGTTGTTAGATCGTCTGCGGTTTGCAGTTGAGCATTGCAAAATAAACTAAAACTACAACAAATTGCATTGATACAGTACTTTTCACGTCGAGAGAACGTCCCAAGGCACTGAAAACCACACCAACGGCACCAAAGGGCTTCTCACTGAGAGGCCAAGTAGTTTAAGTCAAACTGGTGCCAGAGCACACCAGAACCGATCCACTTTTCCTAGAGTACATGTTGCACAGTGGCAACAACAATAAAATAATAATAATAAAATGATCATAATCCTTGCGTTTGGTATAGCTCAAGGAAACAAACATCTCACGGGCAATTGCTGACAAGTGTAGTGACTGTGTGTTTTTGTGGGCAATTGTCACAGCCAGTTTGCACGCAAGAAAGTTCCGCAAACAGCCATCAAGTGATTTAATATGGGGATTGTCAGCCTGTACACTGGGAGAGAAACTCCCTTCTCTTTATGACTAGCGCCCCGGGATCTTAAACGGGATCTTTAAGTCCAACATAGGGGCTTGAACCCCTAACCTTCTCACTCAGGATCGAGACTGCTACCAACTGAGCCAGGCTGACGCACGATGAAAAGACAAAATCAAGGTTGCTTAGTATAACGGGCCTCATTAGCATCGAGAAGGCTGGTGTGATTACACCATAACAGAATGAAATGGCTTTTGAGAGGCGAACGGGAATGCTGATTACGAGTAATTAATCCATTATGTTTGATATCCATCTTTAAATGGATGTCGTTTAGCGGACCCAGTGGGGTTGTTTGCATTGCGTAGAAGTTTATTCAAACAGGCTGGTGCTAATGGCAGCTTATCACAGTAGAATGTTACGACTTTACGCTACGTTAACTGGTGCAAAGGGTGAGATTCTGTGTGAGTCCCTCTCACAAACACTGGCTTCACATTCCAAGTGCACCAGCCCAGACCAGCGCTCTTTCACTCGTGTAATTGCTCGCTCGCCCCACGACTGTTTGTGGGACGTTGCTACGCGCAAATTGGCTGCTACGCACACATTCAAAATACACATTCACTCCACTGCATGGAGTCCTGTAGCTCAGTGGTTAGAGCGCTCGCCTCACAAGCGAGAGGACCAGGCTTCGATTCCTGGACAGGGCGAAACCTTTAGGCAACTTTCCTTACTCCACACGCCTCTGTTTACCTAGCGGTAAGTAGGAACCCAGTTGTTAGTCGATTGGTGAATCGGTTTCAGGGAGTAATAATCCCTTAAAAAATAATAATTTAGTCACTCAATTCACGACTGTTTGTGGGAGGCTGCTGTGTGCAATTGGCTGCTGCGTTTCGCCCACAAAATATCCAGTCAATTCACTTTAAGGTATATTCCGTGAAGCGCTTTGAGACTTGGTGAGGTGCCGTATCAATGTGAGGACTGTTATATTATTATTAATGCACGGTTGCACCTTCAGCCGCTATGCGTGGAGAGGCGATTTCCGCTTATTGAAGCAGAAATCTAATCTTGTTGCAGACTGACCAAGCTTGAGCAGATGTGCAGTGAAGGTGACTGGTGGGGGATCATTAACACTGGAGAGATGCACTCTGCATTTACATGGGTTGCCACTGATTTGCATCCTGGTGTAACAACAGACAGCGGGTCAGATAGAGGGTTTCGGTGTGATACACATTCCCTCTGAGGCTTATTTACAAGGCAAATAAACATCAGTTGCAAACCCAAGTTAATCAGTCAAATCTGTTTGAACGTTATGCAAAAGGCCTTACCCAAACCATCCGTGTGTTAAATTATCTATCTATATCTATCTGGGGTGAGACATTTTAAGACGCAGATGATCCACAGTGTTAGAGGAACAAGCTATAAGCAACGGTTAGACAAGCTGGGTGCTCTTCAGTGTTGAGAGAAGACTGCTTAGATCCTGGGGTTTAGACTGAATCAGGTTTACACCTTCGGGAGCTTAACTTACTCCGAGCCCTTGAGTTTAGCAAGTTTTTTTTGCTGTGTTTGGAGACAAAGCGAAACAACGGCTCTTTTCATTGATCAGCGAAAAACAGACCAATTGTTCCTTGACCTGTTACGAACATTGGCGTGAACCAGCTTTTCTTAATAACCCCCAATAGCATTTCCACACTGGTAGAGGGTCTGAACACTTGTTTAAATTCTCAACCGAAGGACAGCACCTCCAAAATCGCAGCGCTCCGCCCAACCCCCAAATGCACTGTGTTTGAGTATCAGCCTAGACCGTCTCCCACGTGAGGGCTTGAACCCCCAACCTTCTGACCCCAGAAGCGAGAGCACTATCGACTGGAACAATAATAACAATCTTTGCGTTTGATGCAGTGCCTCATCGCACTGTTGGATTGTCCCAAAAGACTTTGTACGATTCAATTGTAAAGTGCAGTGACTATACTTGCAGGCAAACTGTTTTGTGAAGCTGACCTGATCTCTATCGGAAAGACAGAACATTGTAATCTTTTATGTTGGTTTCAGGAGGTCATCTGAAAATACATTTCTGATGTGTATCAGCAATTGCAAGGACATTTGGAGTCCTGTCCTTGTACTGGATAGAGCACTCGCCTCGCAAGTGAGAGGATCCGGGTTTGATTCCCTGACAGGGCAAAACTTTAGGCAAGTTTCTTTACTCCACATGCCTCTGTTTACCTTAGCAGTAAGTAGGAACCCGGTTGTTAGTCGATTGACAGATCGCTTTCCGGGGATAATAGTCCCTTCAAAAAGAAATAAATAGACAGACAGGCAGTTAAACAGACAGATAAATAGATAAATATTAATTGACTGTAGGCTCGATCGAAGAAGAAATTCCTTGGGTGCAATCTGAAGATGGCCAGAAAGGGGACAAGGCGGAGGGATGGAGGCAGGAGGTTTCAGAGAATTGGAGTGTAGTGGTTGAATGCACAGTCACTGATGGTGGAGCGGAGGGGTCCAGAGACATGCAGAAGGTCTGTGCGGCCTGAACAAAGGGGATGGCTCCCCCCTATAAACACACAGTCACTACACTTGACAGCAATTCCCTGCAAAGCACTTTGCGATGCTTCAATTGCATCTTATGCAAAGATTAGCATTTATCATGAGTATTGAACTTTGACATCTCTTAGTTGATTAAGGTGGAATCCTGTGATCATGTCTGTGCGAAAAACATTCAACTCTGGATTTAAGGCAGACTTAATAATACCCTTTGAGTAAAATTGTTTCAATGCAACAGCAAGTGACAATTTGGATAATTCTAATTGAGAACTGATTGCAGCCTCACCAATTATTGATTTAAATGAGTAGGTAAGTTCAGTACAATTAGCCCACAAACATCCCCCTCCTCCCACCGGGGTTGGGAAGGGAGAAAAATCAGTTGAAACGAGGAAGAATTCCCCCCCTGCTTCTTGATTTGGAATTTTACAGCGTTCAGAATTTGGTAAAAAATTTGAATGCAGTCTTAACTTTGATGCTGTTTTTTTCTGAAGCTCTTGAAAGAAATTTAGTGAAGTTTATATTACAAGGTTATTACGCATTTCTTATCCTTTCCCCTCCCCCATCCTTTCCCCTCTTCTCCCCCCATCCTTGGTCTGGGACACTGCCCTGCGTAATGCGCACTATGTAAATGCAAGTTGTTGTTGTCACATGTAAATTGCAACGTTCCCTACAAAATACACACTTCTCCAATTCACAGTAAAATCCTTAGGACGTCCTCCCGACGTGAAAGGCCCTATACAAATGTCATTTGCATTGTATTGTAATGCACTCGGAGACGTCCTCTCAATGTGAAAGGCATGAGTACTATTATTATGATTATTATTAATAATACCTCTCCGTGAAAGAGAGGCCCATGGCTGAACACAGGCTTGCATTGTACGGGAAGAAAATGTTACTGTTAGGAGCCAACCTGCCCACCTGTGAAAAAAATATGCACAGGCAGAAAATGATTCAGTCGGCCTGAGGGCCTTTGGACCAAAGTTCCTTATGAAAATAATCCTGTCTAACCAGCCCAGCCCAGCTCAGCCCAGCACTGCTCATTTACCCATTACCTTGACAACTCCCCAAGGCTTGGCAATTAAGTGTGGGTCGCACCCAGGTAGCTTTGAAAAAGTTCAATAAGTTGCTTAACAAAGAAAGTCCGACTCCTGTTTATTTTTCTCACTTCTGATATTCTTCCCACCGTCTTCCTCCCTCCTTGAAGGAGTTCAGTTCCTTTCCTCCACTGTCGAACCGTTCCCAAGACAACCCGTGAACATAAGAACATAAGGGTTTGCTAAGCAAAAGAAGACCCAAGGTCCATCCAGTTTGCCTTCCGCTTTCCTGGCAGTCCCATGTCATTATATCAAACTATACATTGTATGCCGAGACATTTTGCCCACAAGAATGTACAGTCAATTCGCTGCACAGTACATTCTGTGAAGTGTTTTGAGATGTCTCGAAGATGTGATAAGGCAAACCATCACCGTGCTTAAGGAGTATCCAAACCAAACTGAGTATTCCATGCCATCCCACCTACACGTGGAGATTCAAGAGATAAATTGTTGGAATGGAATGCTCTCTCTCTCTCTCTCTCTGGAGGGACGGATCCTAATTTTGGAAAGTATTAAGTGCAGGTTGGCAGGAGGCCAGGAGTTGGTGGGAGCCCCAGAGTGTGCGTTGGTGTATTTTTCCTTTCACTCCCTTCTCCAGTGTAAACGCTCTGATGGCTGGTCACCAATATTAAGCTAAGCTGATGTGGAACAATCTGGCAAATAAAGAGTGGAAATAAAATATTCCTGATCACTTGCCTTTTCCTTTCAGCAGTCCGCAACTCCCACCGCGCCCTGATTGTGCTATTAATACTGGACTAAGATCAGTGTGGACTCTACTCCCTGTGTCAATCTAATATGTTAACGCTTCACGCTGAATCGTGACGTGGGGGTCGAGACCCATATTATCAGGACTTTGAGCTCATAATCTAGGCTGAAGTTCCGAGGCTGACCCAGTGCCACATTGTCGGAGGTGCCGTTCTTGAGATATAGACGTTAAACTGAGGTCCTATCTGCCTGTTCAGGTGGATTTAAAGGTGCCCTGGCACTCCTCGAAAAGAGAAGGGAGTTTCTCTCTCTCGGTGTCCTGGCCACCCATCCCCCAAATAAAATCAGTCGCTCACTTCATTAGCTGTTTGTGGGATTTTACTACATGAAATAGGCTGGTGCTTTTACCTACAAAATACACAGTCACGACACTTTAGTGTAAAGTTTGTAAAACGCTTTAGATTCTTCGACATTGAAGATTGTATATGAAATGCCAGTAAGAGTAGTATTATAATAACGGTCGCCCTTCCTATCCGAAGATGGCCCTTCACACAATGTGGGTGCGTGAGCTTGTTTATCGTGTAGAAGCCTGCACAGATACCACACTCTTAGGTAACAAGCTGTTTCAGAGAATATCTGAGAAGACCAGACCACTTGCTAACCACACTGGCCTAAACCATTACCCCCGGCAAGCGATCCACCAATCGACTAACAACTGGGTTCCTACATACTGCTGGATAAAACAGGCGTGTGGAGTAAGGAAACTTCACTAAGGTTTCGCCCCCATCTAGGAATCGAACCTGGGTCCTCTCGCTTGCGAGGCGAGCGCTCTAACCACTATGCGTAGGGTTGAAGAGGGTTTTCATTGCGTCAGAACAGTAATCAGGGACTTTTAACCTTGCGCCCGCTGATAAGGACCAAGGTTGCTTTACGGGAAAATAAAGGCACTGAGAGAAATGCCAGGTGCAGAGCTAGGAAGAGAACAGCAAACAACTTCTATCCACCAATGTATACAGTCTGTCAAGGGCAAATAACACTGTGTTTATACTGCTAGAGCCAGCATGCTTTATTCCCAGCACTGAAGTCAAGAGGAGCAGAAAGTCCAATTTATACTTTGTGCATGTGAAACTTAGTGCAGTGACACCAAATTACATGCAAAAAATAATAAATTGGTCACTCAATCCACGGCTGTTTCTGAGACACTGCAGTGCGTAATTGGCTGCCGTGTTTCGCCCACAAAATATCCAGTCGATTCACTTTACGGTATATCCTGTGAAGCGTTTTGAGACGTCTCGACGACATGATAAGGCGCTATATCAAATTCAAGGATTATTATTATTATTAATACCAAGTAATTTACGTTTGTACCATGCCTTTCACATCGGGAGGACGTCTCAAGGCACTTCACAGGATATTCAGTAAAGTGGAGTGACTGTGTATTTCGTGAGTGAACGCATGGAGATTCCAGAAATAGATTGATGGAACGGATGAAAAGAAAAACACCTCATCCGAAGGATGGCATCTGTGATAATGCAACGCTCCCCCAGCGCTGCACTGGAGCGTCAGAGAAAGATAACGGGCGATTATTATTGAACAAAATATACAATGCACAGATCCTGATAACACAAAGAAACAACTTCACATTTACAGATTCAGTTTACTGTGGTTTGTGGGACTATCCTGGAATGTAATTTATTATCCTCTTTAATTGACTGTCGTTAATTATGTCCCTTTAAGACATAATTGCAATGTTCTCCTGTGGGCAAGATTTTCACGTGTGTTTCTTAATTAACCAGGGAGTGAAGCAGGGCTGGGCTCAGTGTCATGTTGTCCTTTCTCCTTGAAGAACGCGTGGTTGAACGCGATATAAATGCGTCTCGTGATTTTTGTTTCTTTCAACAAAATGCAGGCTTTTGCTTTTCGAGCGAGAGAAACTTAGGAATAAAACAGGCATGGAATCCATTGATGAATAATCCTGAGAAACACTATCTGCACAGTTCCTCTTTCACCCTCTGTGTCTCTCTCTTCCTCTTTCGTTCTCCCCCAACCACCCGCCATCCCACACGCCCTCCCGCCCCGCAACCGCCCTCCAACTCCTACACCCCCTCCCCCACCCTCCAACCCCCGAACACATTCACACAAGCCTTCTATTGAGATACAGTATTTCAGCCAGGCAGAGTGTGGTTACAGTTAGCCAGTCCTGCTGCTCAGATTGAACAGTCCAGTTGCAGGAGATGTCAGTGTGCTTCTGATTATTTTTCTTTATCGACTGAAATGGAAACGGTTTCCTTCCTGATGCTTTAGAAGTGAGGGCAGAGAGAAATGCTCTCTGCACAGCACCTCTTTCTCTCTCTCTCTTTAAAATCTCATCTGAAGGCACCTCTGATAATGCAATGCTCTAGAAATTAGGCCAGTGATCCCTCAGTGAGTAGGCAGACAACACCGATAAGTGGCACATTTTCATTTGGGTAACATCGGGTCAGTCCACGTGCTCCCAGCTCTTCAAATCAATGCAAACATCTGATTTCATCGCAGGTTGGGCGAGAACTGGAACCAGAGTCCGGTTCAGCCCCACGCCAGCTCCCAGCTAAACACACCTGTTGTGCTTGTCGTGTTTCCAACGGGTACTGTTAACCCATCTGCTCATAAGAAACAGCATTTCAACTTTGCAGCACATTCCCAGCTCTGCTTTAGGGCATCAGGCGTATTCGGCCCATGGGCCGATTTCAACCGGCCACCCCACCCCCCCCCCCAACCCCCTCTGCTCCCCTTCTCTCCATTTCATCTGCTCCCTCCATAACCCGTAAATGTTATGTCAAGTAAATGTTTCCCCCCACCCCCCCCCGGCTCGGAGTCAGGCTCTGCCACTGTTAAGCACACTGAGGCGCTACCCTGAGTGGAGGGTGCTATATCAGTGCAAGTTGTTGTTGTAGGTTTCTGGAAGGGAAACACAGAAGTATTGTTGTGCGTTGGACTTACAACCCATGGACTTTTGTCAAATAGGGCATCCAGCCCTCAGCAGCCAAAATTTTGGACCCCTCATGGCTTAGACTATAGGACCCTCATAGCCTAGACTGGAGCTGTGTTTTAAGGCTTCTGCCTTTCTGCAATGCAAAGACCAAAAGATCAGTTGATGAAGTGATCAGAACAATTGCCAGTTGGGATGAGCGGATGTGGTCCATCATGTATTTCTCCATCACTTTCACAAGAAGTCCTATCACAACAAAAAGCGCATTCTTCCTTTGACTCGTCTGGACACATGTGAATGTTGCACAACTGATCTCTCAACAGACTGCCAATGAATCCTCAAAGAAAATAAATGTGGTGAGTTGTGCAATTGCCATCCATTGACAAGGGAAGTGACTGAGGTTTGAATCAATTTGGGAGCTTAGTTTACAGTTGGGCCAACTTCAAAACTGCAGCAAATGTAACGCTCAGTTTAGTGTCAGAGCCACCCACCCTCTTGTCAGTGAGACTCATTTCATCCGGATGGAAGTGGGGCTAGAGAAAGGGTCAGGATTTGAGAGTGAGTGGGTCAATTATCTTCAAGATAAGTCGGTCAACAACAGGAACTTGCATTTATATAGCACCCCTCATTCAGGGTAGCGTCTCAATAACGGATGGACAGTGGCGGAGCCTGATGCTGAGCGGAGGTGACCGCAAGCACAAATTTTATATTAAAATATTATTTACAGCTGCTGACTTTGCCTGTGAACACAGTCACCAATACACTTGACAACTTGGATCTCAGACAATTCAACCCAACAACTTGCGAGTCCCAAAGTCCAAACATGGGGCTTGAACCCACAACCTTCTGGCTCAGAGGCAAGAGTCCTACAGACTTGAGTGAGGCTGTCATCTTGAAACCTGTGAACCAGCTCCAATTACACGCAAGCCACGATGCAACACAAAGCACCCTTGATACAATTGCTCTGTTCCTTTGACTAGCAATAACTTGTCCATTTCACAGACCGAACACATTGGATGGCTGTTCATTGCTCAAGGGCAGAGGCAGACACTGGTCTGGCATCCTGGCAGAGAACATTTGAATCATCAACACAACTCATGCTTATGTTAGTGAGTCAATTTCCGATGATCCCCAATGTTCAACATGGAAAATTTTAAAGACAACCGAGGTCTGCCAGTGTCCCAGGGCTCTCAATGGTAAGCCATATGGTTTTAGCTGGTTAGCCTCCAGCAGTACCACAACGCACACTCTGCAGTCCCTCAAGCCTTGGATCCTGCCAACCTCCACCTAATACTTTTCCCGAATTAGTAAGAGAGCGGATTCCAATCCGACAATCTATCTCTGGAACTTCCACGTGTGGGTGGGAAGCATGGAATTCTCAACTTGGTTTGGACACTCTTAAGCAACGGTGATGGATTTCTGCATGTGCCAGACACCTGGGCCGACCACACAAAAAATATCCCAGGATGAGTCACAGTCTTTAGGAGAGGGAAGTTGCTTAAAACTGCATGGAGGGAAGAAAACAGGATGTTTAACATTGGTCTGAACAGGCATAGACAGAACCTCGCTATAACATCTCAGCCAAAGGGATGGCACCTCTGACAATGCAAAGCTCCCACCAATACTGCACTGCAATGTCAGCGTAGACCATAAACCATGTCCCGGCATGGTTCTTGAACCCCACAACCTTTTAAACTCAAAGAAACAATTATGCTACTGACTGAGCCAGGCTCACCACCTTTCTCTGATATGCTAGCAAAGCACACATCAATTGATCACAGCCAGTTCTCATTAAACATGAACCATGGGGTTTCGGTGGGAATGAATCAACAGGAAACAGAACAATTCATTGCACATTTTTTTTTGTTTTTTTTATTAATTGCACAACTTTAAATAGTAAAAATTGAGAAAGCATCTGAACAGTTACATACGGCAAGAATCAAGTGGGGGTGGTGGGGGCTGGGGGGGTGGCAGGAGGGGGAAGAGGGAAATGAAGACGGTTATAAGCATTTACATAGTAAATTTTAATTACACAAAAATAGATCAAGCACATGGTATGTATCTATGTACATGGAACGAACTATCTTTAATAGGGGCCAAAATATACTGCATTATAACACAGTGTATGTCCAACTATCTGAATGCAAAATACTGGGACAATTTACAATAGGGAAATGCAAAGGCTTATGGATACCATTCAAGGAAGGCAATATCGAGGCATGGGAGGAGGACACACATTGAGTCAAATAATCCATGCCTACAGGGGGTCCTTTGGTCACTTGCTCAAGAGCATCTGGTCTGAGATAGCCCCAAGGCTGACACACTGCACGGAATGTCTTTGTGGACAATACCATGCAGGCTGATCTTTTCAGTTGGTTTGCTTTTAACTCGGGGCATGTGCAAGTTATGTGGATGTGGCTGGGAGGGGGGGGAGGGGAGGGGTGGGGGAAGTGAAGGCAGAAACACAAAAGCACATTGATAACCAAGGGCTCGTCACTGTGAATCAATTTGGTTTGAGGGGGGCACAGGGATTGAATTCGGCTCGGTATGAACCAAGCCTAGGAGAGTCAGCCTAGGGGTTAGACAGCTATTAACTGAGGGAAGAGTTCACTGGTGAAAGTGTCCTCCCAGCTGTTCTCCAGGGTCAACGGAGATGACATGTCGCTGAGAGGGGATGCAGTTTCCTCGTAGCCAGAGTCGCTGTAGGAATCTAAGGGGCATTTGGGTTTTTCTGGATTCTGCTCGGATGAAAGAATATTTTTGAGTCCCAGTTCGGTGATGAATTCATCTTCCAATGGCTCGCACTTGAGCTCGATTTGGACTGGTTCATTGTCTTCTTCCGCAGTACTGAGAGATGCTTCCTCGATCTTCACAGCAGTTTCGCTGCTCTCTACTAAGCCAGCCTCAGCCAGAGGCTTGTGGTAAAAATGGTCGAAGCGGATCAGTTCATTAATGGCTTCCAGCTTTGTCGATGGGGCCCCCAGAGAGGGAGCGGTGGAGGTTGGTAAGGAACCATTAGCAAAGCAACCATTGGTGTTGGTATATTCCCCCAGGTCTGTGAACGATCTGGACTCCTCTTCACTGAATCGGAGCAAGGTTTCTGGATCAAAGTAATCCAGGATCCCAAGGAATAGATCAGACTGTTGGGAAATAGACAACAATGTGTAAAAATAACCTTTATAACAAATAGATTGTTATATATTATAACCCTTAAAACAAATTTCGCTCAGAAAATACATACTCAATCCCCTTTACAATATATTCCGTGAAGTGCTTTGAGATGTCGCAACGACGCGATAAGGATTATTATTATACAAATCATAATCCTTGCATTTGATATGGTGCTCAATCATCTCATCGAGACGTCTCAAAGCGCTTCACAGGATTTGTTGTGAAACGCAGCAGTCAATTTGCCCACAGCAACGTCCCACAAATGGCCAAGCCATTAGTATCATCTGTGTTTTTAGTATCATCTGGGAGATTGGTGACCAGGACACCGTTTCATCTTATGTGTTGACCAACACTGCGCCAGGCACACTCGCTTCCCCCCCCACCCCCCAAGCCTATACCCCACGAAAGCCCAGGGCTCTCAGCGAACTCTTACCTCAGAGTCTGAAGAGTCAATGCTGTCAGTATCCATGTGGAAGCAATCATCCTGGTCGACAGCTGGGCCTGCACCTGCTGCAGAGGCACACATAGTCTGAGTACTGCTGACTCAGCTGACCCGGCCGCCAGGCTCATCTCATCCACTCTGGCCTGGAGAAGCACCTGCGATAGAGACAGAGAGAGAAAGAGCACAGACTTAGCAACACAAGAACATAACATGAGAATTCCCGTCATGTCGTTGAGACGTCCCAGAGTGCTTGGCGCTTACACAAACGTAATTTGATGTGAAAGGCGCTATGCTGTACAAGGGCCTTGTATATTTGTTGGTGGTGTTATCGTTGTTGCTTCACAGCATAGAATAATAAAAATGATAATAATAATGCTTGACTTTGATTATAGCGCCTCATCGGGTCATCGAGACGTCTCAAAGTGCTTCGCGGGATATACTGTGCAGTGGAGTGACTGTGCATTTTGTGGGTGAGAAGCAGCAGCCAGTTTGCGCACAGCAACATCCCATAAACAGCCTTGAAGCGAGCGACCAATTTTATTTGGGGAATGTGTTGGCCAGGACATGGGGAGAGAGAGAACCTCCCCTCTCTTTTGGAATAGTGCCATGGGATTTTTCATGTCCACCTGAACAGGCAGACGGGGTCTCAGTTTAACGTCTCATCGATGGACGGATATATACTGTAAAGCGGATTAACTGTGTATTTTTACGGGCAAAACTGGATTCAATTTGTGCCCAAATTAGTCTATTCTGTGAAGCCCTTTGAGACCTCAAGAAGACGTGTAAAGCGCTATATCAAATTCAAGGATTATTATTATTATAATAAATACTGGGAGCCCTGAGATGCCCCATAAAATAGAGTAAATCTAGATCAGGGCTGAATTGCTCCCTAAAGTGCACTAGACATTAATAATGGAAAGATTGTTATTTTTTTTAAAAAGAGATTAATGTGTGATCGCTGAAGCTTAATGCCCGGGTTTCACTGCGACCTTTTGTTAATACCAGCTGTTTAGTTTAAGAGAAATGGTACAAATGGGTATTCAGCAGAGCTTGTGCGCTCTTAAAAAAAATGACACAGCACTTGGCTCTGCAGAGGCGTCTATTACAATGTGCCTATAGTGTAATAAATAGGGGGAGCTGCCGAAAATGTCTCCACAGACGTTCATGCAGAGGATGGAAATTCAATAAGGTCAATATATACCCATGGCAGAACCTGTCATCACCTTTATAACATATAATATATATATGTACACACAAAAAAAAATTTGGTCACTCAATCCGCGACTCTTCATGGAACACTGCTACGTGCATTTGGATGCCGCGTTTCGCCCACAAGATACAGTTACTACACTTTACAATATATTCTGTGAAGCGCATCTCAACGGCATGATAACATGCTAGATCAAATGCAAGGGTGATTATTATTATTATCATCATCATCACAATTATAATGCCAGCATCCTAAATAAGAGGTAAATTCAGTGGTTAGAAAGCACTTGGATCAACGTTCGTGCTTTTGCTCGTGTAAACCTGCACTGGCAACTGTCCAGCGTGATTTTATAATGATCCGTTCATGAAACTATCCCTTCCCCTAGAAACCCAACACAATGCATCTCCCTCATCTACCTCCCCTCCCAGCCCCTTGCCCTCCCAGCCCCCTGCCCTCCCAGCCCCCTGCCCTCCCAGCCCCCTGCCCTCCCAGCCCCCCCCCCCCCCCCCCCCCCCCCCCCCCCCCCTGCCCTCCCAGCCCCCTGCCCTCCAGCCCCCTGCCCTCCCAGCCCCCTGCCCTCCCAGCCCCCTGCCCTCCCAGCCCCCTGCCCTCCCCCACTGAAGAGCAACTTGTAAAGAAAGGATAATCCTTACATGTTGCACAACACCTTTCACGTCAGGAGATGCCTCAAAGCCCTTCCCAGGACTTATTATAAAGTGCAGCCAGCAGCTGTATTTTATAATGGGTGAACGTGGCAGGCAATTTGCGTAAGGCAATGCCCCCACAAACAGACACAAAGTCAACGGCCAGTTTTAATATGGTGGGGAGGGTGGGATTGTCAGCCAGGACACTGGGAGCGAGAGACCCTTCTTTGAGTAGGTCTGTGGGATCTTTTAACACCCACCTGAGCAGACCGTTTGTGGGACACTGCTGTGCGCAATTGGCTGCTGCGTTTTGCCCACAAAATACACAGTTCACTTCACAGTATATCCTGTGAAGCGCTTTGAGACGTCTCAACGATGTGATAAGGCACCATGTCAAACGGTCAGGGTTAATTACATCCCCAGTGATCTCTGTGGGAAGCCATGCGTGGGGCTTTAAAATGCACAATACTATAGCGCCAACTGATCCAATCTGCTCTTTAAATAGCTGGGAGGCTTCAGGTGGAACAGAACAAGGATATGTAAATTTCAGCTTCCTGGTTGCGGCAATCATTATACATTTGCACGCCAAGTATTCAAGTGGAATAAAATACTTGGCTCCAAATTCCACCACCTTTGGACTCCGGGCAGTTAAAGGGAGATGGAAAATATTTTTATTATAAATAGTCCAGCTGTGAAGAGTAGTATATTTTTAAAAAATGAGATAAGCTGCAATCTGCGGCCTCATTTCCTCCCCGTCTCTTTCAACCCAGGAAATCACCCAGGAAATATTTTTGCCCACAAAGCATAATAATACTTACCTTTGATATAGTGCCTTATCACTTCATGAAGTCTCAATGCACGTCACCGAATACACTGTAAAGTGAATTGACTGTAGTCTGTGGGTGAAATGCGGCAGCCAATCACACAAGTCAATACAGAATATACAGTCACTCCACTTTACAGTGTATCCTGTGAGCGCTTTGAGACGTCTCAACGACGTGATAAGGCGTTATATCAAATGCAAGGATTAATATAAAAAGTGACCTCCTCCAACTGACCCATTCCAAGAGGATTAATGATTGAATGGATTTTACTGAATTATTTATTGTTTGATTTATTATTATTCCTACCTTTTCCTTTTCGGGATCAAGTACTTCCATTCCTAGTCTCTGTCGCAGCTCCTGATTCTCGGTCAGGAGACTGTGTGTTTTTTCATGGAGGAGACGGTTTTCGATCTCAAGTTTCTGGTTCTGCAGCAGAACAGACAAGAGGGCATTGAACAGAGTTACCCAGAAAGGAAAGACACACGACACAGATCACAGTGATGGGGCAAATAACACGGACACTCCTGGGTAATGTTGAAGCTGTCCACGCTCCCCCTAAAGGAGGGGGTGGGGGGTGGGTAGGGCAACAGGGAGGGGAGGGGTGGCACAAGACCCACCAACTGAGCCTTGCAAAAGTTAGTAGAAGCCCAAGGTGAGGAAGCCTTCTTCAGGGCATTGGGACGTCCTCCCGTCGCTATAGAAATGCAATTTGTTGTTGTTCCCTTCACCAAACTGGAGTGAGCTTCACACGAGATGCTGTAAAGTAATCCCTTTTTAAAAAAATACAAAGACAATTGGCTTCTTTTAAATTCAAATGGGTGTGGAGGAAATGGCCTTTAACATTTTTTAAAGACCGTATCATAAGATTTGAAAAAATTTGCACACCCTGAAATACTGTGTTAACAGGTTAATAATAATAAGCTTGGATCTGGGTTAAGGGTACCTGTACATTGGGGATAGAGTAAGGAATGGCTGAAGGCTCATGTGGAGTATAAATACTTGCACAAACTGGTTGGTCCAAGTAATTGGTTTCAATGCTGTACAGTCTTTGCAAATCTTTGTAGATTTTTCTACATAAAAGGAAACATTTGCAGGGTTACGGGGGTAAGAGTGGGGGAGTGGGACCAGTTGGGTAGCTCTTATTGAACAGCTGGCACAGGCACGATGGGCCGAACGGCCTCCTTCTCTGCTGTAAGACTCTATAATTCTATTTTTTTATATCTTTATATCACATTAACAACAGGCAAGTGACTTGCTCTGCTCGCCTGCGTACCCTGGAGTCATAGACGCTAACGAAACAAACGAGAGCCTTCTTGCTATTTCATTAGGGTTGTGAAAAGAACAATCCATCATTCACAGTCACCAGGGAAAATCTCTCCGTGCGGGTCTGGCCTCGGTCTGGTTTGGGTCATCCGCACGTGTCAGACGCCCAGCTGACCCCCCCCACCACCCCCCCCAAAAAAATATAATCGTTCTCACCTCAGATTCCAGATCGATCACCTGCTGCTCCAGCTCAGACATTCGAGCTTTCTTCCTGTCTCTGGCTGTCTGAGCAGCAACTCTGTTTTTCAATTTCCTTTATTAGGGAAAAAATATTTGATGTGAATATATATATATATATACACACACACACACACTTATTATTTATGTACATATATTTATATTGTAAAGTGAATTGATTGTATATGCTGTGGGCCAAACAAAATCAATCCGCAGCCAACTGCACACAGAGGTGTCTCACAAGCACTGGTGGATTGAGTGACCACATTTTAAAAAAAAAGATGTATTGGGTGAAAATATATATTCATATAATATACACAATATATATAGAAATACATATATATATATATCCTATATATAATGTATATATACTTATAAATATACGCACACACACAGATACAGATTTATTAAATACACACATATGGATAAATTAACTGTTTCGACGTTTTAAAGAGCCTTCAGTATAAAAAGCTCAGCTGAGATTACGCAATTTTCCTCACGTCAAACTGCCACGAAAGCAAAAAGGACATTTTTCTCTCTCCCTCTCTCTCTCTCTCTCTCACACACACACACACACACACACACAATCACGTCGTTAAGAAGAACACTTACGGTCAAACAAAACCACAAATCCACATCGTCTCAGCGAGAGAGAGAGAGAGAAATAAAATAAAACACTCGTCGATCTCGCAAACACAGCTCTGAAAAATGACAACAGTTTCATCTCCCAACAGCTCGACAGAAGATCCATTAAAGTAATAATAATAATAATAATATCTCAGCAAAGTCGGACATCTCCACGTTGGGTGACTTGACTCGGAAATGTCCTGAAATAATAGGATTTTATGTGTTTTTTGTTAATTTTTTTTAAAAAAACACAGAAATGCACTGAAATCATTATCCTGACCACCTGGTAAAAACAGAATGAATTCCCTGTGTACGACTTCCCGATTGCAGATGCAAAACATTATATGAAATGAATATACCCCCCACCCCCTTACCCCCCCAAAAAAAAAACAATTGAGGGGAATTTGAGGGGAAATATTATCCCCAATGGTCTGGTACAAATAGATGATTTGCTCCCCTCTCTAATACATCCTCACGACTTGTGTAACATATATTAAAATATCCCCCCCCCACCCCCCCCCCCACACACACACACACACAAACCCCCAAGGTTTAAGTGTGTGGGGGGGGATGTGGGGGGGGGGTGTTGGGGGTAATAGATCTAACCTCCTCAATGCTTTCTCCTCGGGGCTGAGGTGGGTGAGTCGCTGCCGTTTCCTGTGCGGGTGGCCGGCCCCCAGCCCCGGGGGCGACGGGTCACCGGCGTCCGGTCCGGAGGCGCTGCTGGAGTACAGCACCGAGAGGTGGCGGCCGATGTCGAAGCCGTTCTGCTTCCCTCCGGGGATCAGCAGGACTTTGGGAGAGCCCGAGGTGGCGGTGACGGCGACCATCCTGACCGTGGGGTGGGGGGGTGTGTGGGGCTGAGGGTGGGGGGTGGGGGCTGAGGGTGGGGGTGGGAGGGTGTGGGGCTGAGGGTGGGGGTGGGAGGGTGGGGGGGTGTGGGGCTGAGGGTGGGGGGGTGTGGGGCTGAGGGTGGGGGGGTGTGGGGCTGAGGGTGGGGGGGTGTGGGGCTGAGGGTGCGGGGTGGGAGGGTGGGGGGTGTGGGGCTGAGGGTGGGGGGGTGGGAGGGTGGGGGGGTGTGGGGCTGAGGGTGGGGGGGTGTGGGGCTGAGGGTGGGGGGTGTGGGGCTGAGGGTGGGGGTGTGGGAGGGTGGGGGGTGTGGGTGGGGGTCACAGTGGATCAGAACGGCGCGGAGTCCGAGCGCAATGGATCGAATCTTCGCCGAATACAATGTATCCAAAGCCTTTGTCGACGACAGTCTGTCGAATCCGCGTCGGTTACAGTGTATCGAGAACCCGATCGGTTACAATGTATCGACCGCCGCGCGCGCGTCTCTCTCTCTCTCTGTGTCTCTCTCTGTGTCCACATCCCCAGAACACAAACTACACTGACTTCACACTCCCCTCCACACACTCCCCCCTCACCCTCTCTCTCTCTGTTACAGTCCAACTGGTTCCACTTCCGATCAGGGCTTCAATTTCTACCATCGTGTTGAAATGCCATTGGTGGAGCTGTCGCCAGCATCAACCCCCCCCACACCCCCCCCCCCTCCACCACCACCACACACACACACACACACACACCCCCCCTCGCCTTTCATTGGACTCCACCGAGTTCACTCACTGATGAAAGACTTTGGCCCACGTAGCGTCATGTGTCTTGTTTACTGACTCGGGAAAGGAGGGAGTCATGTAAATCCACTCGATGTTACATCAAAATAGTTTGGGGGGGACTTTCCTGGATATCTTTAGGGATGATTCAATCGGGTGCAATACAAAGATCTCCATTCCTCCCCTCTCCTATCCCCCCCCCCCCCCACCCCACACACACATGTCCCACCATGATCTGAGCCGAGTTTGGGGGGAAATTATCCTCGGAGCGGGGGTTCCATTAATTAGGGTCTCCTCGGAGCTGAACTGGCTCCAAGGTGACGTGTTTGGCAACGGAATGTCGGAATCGAGCCCCCCCCGTAGCGGTCTCGGTTGTCCGGTTCTTGAGCCAGGAAGGTCTGCAGTATTCCAGGGCACTGCTCCCAGCCCGGCCCGGCCCAGCCCAGCCTGGCTCATCGGTGGGATATGGAGGGTCAGACCAGTCACGGTGGGGGGGGGAGAGGGGAGTAGTCCCACTTAGCTCCCGTTAACCCCGGAAGCCAACGCCATACCGGGATGGTGGGGTGGTCCTTGCTGGACAAGCAGACGGAAAGCTTATTTTTTTTCCTTTCGAGGGGGGGGAGATAATCACAGACTGTCATGCTGTTATATTTATAACAGTAATAATCCTTGCATTTGATATACAGAGCCTTTCATGTCGGGGTGGGGGGGGGGCACATCTCAAAGCGTTGCACAGGATTGACTGCAAATTAATGTAGTGACTGTGTATTTTGCAGGTGACACCTGTTTCCTTCAGCAAGCCACATATTGCATCAGCCACGGCCTGCCCGTTTTCTGTAATAAATTTCACATTATTAATTTTGCATTCTTCCTTCTCCCCCCCCCCCCCCGCCCCCCCCAACCCCTCCCCCACCTTGAAAAAATAAACTAAATTGAAACACGTACGACCGCCGAAGCTCATAGTTCAACGTTTTGGTGAAAAACAAAAAGGCTGGGTTTTATATTCGTTTTTATATTTGACAAAAAAATGGAAAATGCAACATGTCAGGTTTAAATCCGTCGCTAACAACAACAGCAACAGCTTGCATTTATACAGCGCCCCTCATTGCTATATAAATACAAGTTTAACCCCCCCCCCCCTACACTCCCAGGGCTCAGCTTTAACCCCAGAGAGCTTAAACCTCTGCACTGAGCTTTTTGATTTGTCTATCTGGAAAGCTGTCCAGCTGTTGTGGAGACGGGACTGCGGTTTGAAGGTTGAAACTCTTTTTTTTCTGCATGTTTTTAATTTATAAATACCTCTCAGATGGTTTCACCCAGACTTGTTCGGACGCCTGAGATGGTACCATCGGAAACTTTGACACGCGACACATGGGGCTGTTTGCAGAAAAAACGCCCGTGTAGAACACAGCAATTGCATCTTATTTCTTTAATCAGCTCCACCGTCGGTGGGGTGAGCGAGAGAGTACTCAGCCCCAGTCCAGCCAGGCAGGGCAGCACAGTGCAGGCAGCCAGTGATCATGATTTCCCCCCCCCCCTTTTCTTTCTCAATGTAATCCTATCTAATCCTTGCATTTGATGCAGCGCCTTATCACGTCTTCGAGACGTCTCAAAGCGCTTCACAGAATATACTGTAAAGCGCATTGACTATATTTTGTGGGCGAAACCCGGCAGTCAATTTGCGCACAGCAGCGTCCCCACAAACAGTGACCGCATTTTTTTTCGGGAGGTGGATTGTTACCGCTGGAAAAGCGATCCGCCAATCGACTAACAACTGGGTTACTGCTTACTGCGAGGTAAACAGAGGTAAGGAAACTTGTCCAAGGTTTTGTCCAGCCCGAGAATTGAACCCGGATCCACTCGCTTGAGAGGCGGAGTGCTCGAACCACTGAGCTTCAGGACTTCTGGGGGAAGAGATAGTGGGGAGATCAGCAAAAAGAAAAAGAGAGCCACCTGAAAACAAAGCAAGAAGTTTGGCTCTGGGGAACGTGCTTTTTCCCTTGGGATTAATTTAATGGCCTTCTGAAGAGGTGCAGGTGCCAACAGCAAAACACTCACTGCCATCCAAATTGGTCCCATGGCTGCAGTTTGCACAGCTGAGGGCTGAGGTGTGAGAGTGTTTGTGCCGTTACTCATCAAGCGAGGGACTGAGGAACACCAGCCCTTTTTCCCCACCTGAGGCCTGAAATTCCACCTCGCCTCAGGCCGTCGTATCATTTTGTCTTAAAATTTTATCTTGGCCCAGAATTTGGAGGCTGGTCCTTTTGAAGCCTAGCACTCTCTCTCCTCGGAGTCAGAAAATTGTGGGTTCAATATCCCCCGCCCCCACTGAAACCCACCCCCCCCCCCCCGACACCCCGCCGGTCGGGAGTTTCAGCTCGCAATCTAGGCTAATGCTCCAATGCAGCACTGAGGAGCTGAGGCTGCATTGTTGGGAAGTGCGGCCTGAGGATGAGATGTTAAACGAAGGCCCTGTCTGCCTGTTCCCGTAGTGTAGCTGTTAGCGCTCTCGTCCCGCAAGCGAGTGGACCCGGGTTCGATTCCCGGTCCGGGGCGAGACCTTAGGCAAGTGTCCTTACTCCACCCACATGTTTCTGTTTACTTCAAGGTAAGCAGGAGGATCAGGATCAGGAGGGTACGGGTGGGAACCTGACCAAAGTTCCAGAGGTTGGGGGCAGAAAGGCTGAAGGTTGTAACATTACTGGGTGTTAATGCCGTACAGACATTAACAGAAGATCTCAAGAAATGTCTGAGTCGAGACGCAGGCACCACTGACGTGCTTAGATTCTCTTTGATGCCGGGTTAAAGAGTGGTTACCGTGCGCGGGTCAAGTAACGGGAGAGACATTACGGGAGGAACTCAGTGAATGTGCAAGTTCTTAACTTGGGACAAAACATAATGTCTTACAGTCTTCTGCAATCGTGAGCAAGGCCGGGAGGTCTGCTGACAGCTCATTTGGTAAAGTCACTGACCGGCTCGAAATTGACCCACGCATGCAGAACAAAAAGCTATCAGACTGAGCAGCGAACGCACGCACACGCACACGCACGCTCACACAAACACGCTCACACACACGCACATGGATTTGTCAAGGCAGCAGAACAAGGGGTACTGGATTTGGAGTTGCAAAGGGCCATTTCAGAGAGAGACACCAGGTAATATTTTTTTGACGCCGAGATTAAACAGGATTAGTGGGCAGGATGGTTAAGGAACGCACACGCACACGAACACGCACACGCACAACACACTCGCACGCACACACACACACACACACTCGCACGCGCACACACAGATGCACGCACACACACACACATATGCACACACACACACACCGATACACGCACACACACACACACACACACACACAAACACCTGCGCGCACACAAACACGCGTGTGTGGGAATCTCCCGGTATCTCTGCCTAGCAAGCCCAAATCCAGATTATTACTATCATACCAGACTGCGCACACACGATAAATTTTTGTGGTAAGGATTCACACACGAATTTGCTTCGCCTTGGCTAACCTCTGCCATAACATTATATCTGTTCTCTCTGTTCCTCCGTCATGGGCTATGAATACAAGAGTTATGCAAATTCAGTTCCTGTTGGCAGCTTCCCAGAGACCAAACGGCACGTCAAACCCCTCTTCGAATTGAAGAACAGGAACGACTCCTTTCGCTCAGCAAAGAAAAGCAAATGAAAGGTTAAGACGAAAATGTGAATTAAATGTTGGAACAGCCGTTGATTTAACAAAGGATTCCATTCTCCGTGTTAATCCTGCTCATCGGGACTACACAATTTCATAATAATCCTTGCATTTGATACAGATATAGTATTGTAAGACGTGTCATGTTTGAAAGTGGCCGGTGATGGGGTTTTTTCTGTCATTCTTCGGCTGGTAAATGGAGAAAGTCTTGGTGTCCACATCAAACTTACTCTTACCTGTTGTTGTTTATTTGCTGCTGCGAAGACAGATTTAAAAAAAAGCGAAATAATACAGGTTTTTCTGACAATTAAAGGAATTCTTAAATCTTTTACAATTGCCAAGACGGCAGAACAAGAGGAATCGGATTTAAGGGTCATTTCAGGACAGGTACCAGGAAATGTTTCTTTACCCAGCGGAAAATTAATGACTGAAACAGGTTGAGCGAGAGGGGTGGTTTGAAGAAGTTTCGGATGAAGAAAGCCCTTCAGCTGATCTGATCTCATTGATCCAGAACATCCACCCCTACTGTACCTACATCA